GAGGAAGACAATTGTTTTATATTTATTTCAAATTGGTCATTACAGCTCTGTCTGCACCCTGTCCTCTTTGTAATTAATGAGACCATTGTAAGATGCCCATTACAGCCTTACCAAATACGAATAAAGGTATGTCAACGGTGGAATAATCGCCCGTACAAATATACACACCTAAACAACTGTGAATACACAATAAACACAACCTTACTAAAAAAACTGTATACTATCTGAATATTCAAGGTCTTCACATAGTAATACTACAAATGACGACCAAGTTCCCTAATTATCCAAATAACGAAATATACATAAATGTTTATAAATTATTCAGTATTCCCTACAAATGACGATACTATATGTTGACCATATGAGAAAATTAAATAACATGAAAACAGTCATATACAGTCCCGACCCACATTTCAAGGGGAAGTTAACGTCAAGTGGGCGGAATACACATGAACTTATTTGCAAGTATCAAAATTCACAATTCGGATTTTACCGATATATTTAAAAATGGAACTCATCTACATCCGTTATTTGGAAGATAGCAACAAATAAATTCGAAACACATATACTGTCATGGTCCGTTTTTGTAAACATCTGCATTTGTACTTTGCGAATTGACCGTACTTATAAATTTGGGACATTTTGTACTTTTGGGACATTTGTACCTCATACAGGAGGGAAATTGGTCAAATAGGACAACAGGAATAATTTGCAAATACAACAACGGTCCCATACAACAAACACCAACCAATAACCTAATTACACAAACCCCAAGTGTAACGTGTTGGCCAACAATTGGAGCCAACCACTCCCGCCAAAAATTGGAGCCAACACCTCCCGCCAATAACTCCCGCCAGTTGCTGACTGTCATTTTCTGCTGCTCATTATTACCTCCCACTATTTAATTGTAACCCAGCTGCATCCACCCAACATTTCCATCACATTTACTCCGTCAAAACTCCCCTGCTTGCGCAACAAATTCAACCATATCACAATTACTTCCAGATTGGGCAAACTAATGCCCACACCAACCCGCAGTAAATACCCAACACCCATGGACCGAAACCCCACACCAAACCCAACCCTTGCCATTACTGAAGGAGGGGACAATGACACACCTGCCAAATCAGCAACAGAAGACACTGAAGACTGGGTCCAAGGACTGCAGCAATGTCGAGCCAATACCATGTTCTGGAAAAATCTCCATGCAGACATAGTGTTAAAAATTAAAGAGGGCCAAGCTAGGTGGGGTATCATAAAAAACTGCACAATTCGGGCGCGTTATGAAGCCCGGATGCATCTCCTACATATAAAGGCTGTCAGAGCTAAAATTGAAAATGCCCCTGCCACTGCAGTTCTTGTATTCAAGGAATCTGACGAAATGGCTGAGCTGAAGCAAAAACAACTGCAATCTGGTTTCGAACTATTTAGGAAGTTTGCAAAAATTGTGGATGCAGAAGGAAAGTGGGACATCACTGTGGGAGGGGTCATGAATTTAATGGGTCGCGGTCGCCGCATGTGAAGGGTATGCAACTCGAAATGTATCCACAGACGGAAGGTATGACTTGTAATATGACCATGTCAACGGTTTAGGACAAACTTTGTACAGTGGAATGGAAGTATGACTTGGCCTCTGTTTTAATTATGTGCGGATGAGGTGCCCTGTTTATGTATTTAGTTTGTATTTGGTAAGTTTGAGGGGGCCTCTTTTTTTGTCATATGTATAATGTAATCGTCAGGTGCCATCTTTGTTAACATTGTATTTACTAAGTTTGTGGTCATCTTTTGTGTTGTTTTGTTTGTTTAATATGTTGTTTTATGTAAGTTCACGCTGGGATGTTATTTTATTTTGTAATCTGCCAGTTTGAGGAGGCCTTCGTATTCTGATTGTTCCTGTTGCCTTCTTTATATTAAGTATGCTGGAAGTTTTAAAACAGCAGTTGATGTAATGTGGATGCATTCATTTCAGATCCAAATTATAACGTAATTACCTTCCACATAGTTCAACTTTGTACACTTGTCAAATGACATTGCAAAACCAATACTGAGGACAGTATAAAACAAACAATTTTGAATAGCAGTACCAACCGAAAATAATGCACAGGTTACATTGCAATGCCAATATACGTGCAATATCATGCATTAGAAAACCAATAAAGAGCATTACAAGCTCAATAAAGAAGCAATAGTAAACCAATAAGTTGCACAATAACACCAATACGTCAGTAAAAAACCAATATACACACAACGAAGAATTAACATGTACTGTATTTCCAAGTGTATACCATGCCGTATGTGAATTCCAACATAAGGGTCCGAATAACATTCCAATTGGATTAGGCCCTCAGTCAGGGCCGTGCCTGAGTTTGTGAGGGCCCTGTGCGAAACTTAAATTGTGGCCTCACATAATTTAATACGAAAATACTATAAATACAATTTGCCATAACTTAATGTCATAAACAATTTTTTTATAACTAAAAGTCACCATCAATAAACATGTAATGACAATCAAAAATCAAATTCATAAAAATTTAAATGTTTCCATTTGATAAAGTTAAATATTGGTATGTTTAGATTACAAAGAAAAATTCCAAAACCTTGTAACCTGGAAGAAAACCCCAGCAAGAAATAGATACATATTTCTAAAAACCATATTCTCATATAACCAATCATCATCATGATAATAATTTAATAAAATAAGTCATGTAATATATAGATTGAAATTTAAATATATACATGAATTTGAAATGAGCTTTGAATCTGACTATTTGATTTTGAGTGGTCTTTATGAATTTAGGACTTATGATTTTCTCTTGTTGGGGTTAAAATTCTTGAAATTGAAAGAATTACAAAAATTGTCAAAGGATTGAAAAAAGAACGAAAGAGACATTGATGAATGATGATGATTACTTATTAGAAAATCAGAGTTTGAGATAAAGAAGAAGCCATGAATATTTTTTTTTTGTTTTGAATAGAGAAAGTACTTTTCTTGGAGGAGAATATATATATATATATATTTTAAAGTGTGTTTTGTTTTTTGTTTTTTTTTTTTTTTTGTAATTTTATAATTATATAAAATTTGTTGTTAACTTGTTATAATAAAAAATAATATAAAAACGACGCGAATAGATTGGCATTAATTAAATTCGAACTCGTGCGCCCCTGTTAAGTGGAGTTTCGCTGGGAAGCCAACTCCACCACGAACACTTCTGTGCAAATTTTTAGCACGCTATAGTATATATACACTTCCTATAATATTAATATATAAATTAAAAAAAACATTTTTCCGGGGCCCTCAAGTATCGGGGGCCCTGTGCGGTGGCGCCACTTGCACCACCCCAAGGCCGCCCCTGGCCTCAGTGTTGACTATGGTAAAGTTTGATTTGTTGTATAAAAACCACCCAATAAACTCCAAGTTTCATGTTGGTGCGCTCACACGGTTTTATTATCCTAATTTCGCACATGCAAGTGAAACCCATTCACTACAAGATGAGCATCTTGACCTCTCCAAATAGCGCACAAGTTGAACAACAAATACAGAGAAAACAAGGAGATGAGTAGGAGGAGCCTCCGTAGCGGTGCGGCTGAGTCAGTGAGGTCTCCATGCCACTCTCAAGAGTGGCCTTCAAGGTCTCGGTGGGAAATGGAAGACGCGAGTTCGGTATGTTCACGGCTGTGCTACTGTGGGAAGGCTGTCAAAACGCATACATCCTGGACGGTTTCTCATCCGGGAAGGAGGTTTCAAGTATGTGCAAGGGTAAGTTTATTTCTCTGTAAGTTTGACCCGAAATTTGGCATTTTCGTGGATTCCATTTGTGATGCTGCGCCTCTTTGTAACGGAAATATTGTTTCCGTTTATGCAGAGGAATGGATGTACATTTGGGAATGGGCTGACCCAGAGATGTGTGACAGATCGAAGCACATAATTCCAGGCTTACTTAGGAAAATAAACCGCTTGGAAGAAGGAAGAAACGCTGGAAAAGGGAAGATGAAAAACCCCTGGTTTTGGGTCTCTGTTTTCATGTTTGGAATGGTCATTTATTTGTTGTGTTCCAAATGTAATAGGAGGTTTGTTCATCTACAGTTGGCAGGTTAAAGGTGGTTAGGTTATGGATGTAATGGAAGAGGTTTGATGATTATGGTGTTAATAGTTTGTTCTATACTATAAGTCAGCATTTTATTGGAACCCATACTCATACTAATGCTAGAATACTTGATCAACTGAGTAATCTGAGATGTTCTAATCTGTCTTATTTTAGATGGTATACACATATTTTAAGTTGTAGAGTCATGATTCGTGAAGCTAGTAATCAACCGTTTTGGAAAGAAGTACGAGTTCATTACCGCTCTTCCAAACTTATTCGGGCATAAAAGAAGAACTGAGTTCAGCAATGAGCAAGGTCAAATTGATTGGAAAAATTTAACCTATGGAAATACAATTAGTACAATTAACGAAGTTGGTATGAAAATGTGGGTACCTATGAAAATTGGTCGACAAATACAATCTGAGCACAAATGTGCGAAATATGCGTTAGGACTCTTCTGTCAACAATATGGTCTTACGTCAGTACCTCTGTCTAGGAAAAATAAGTCCAATTACCGGAGTGACATTAGGAAAAGTCGTCATTACTCACGAAGAAAACAGCCTTTGAACAGAATAAAGATAATCATGAGTTGTATAGGAAAAAACAAAGTTTACCGTAACAAAAATAGGTCCAAACCACCGAATCATTGACGCTTTATGACAAGTGAAGACAATAGCAAAGTTTAATGTTAAAAATGTAAAAAGTTAGTATAATTCAAAACAAAGCTCGATAGTTGAAATCTCTTCAAGAATTAGTTACGTTTAAAATAAAATAAATTCGAACATTTGAAGAACAAATGAAGTTTGATATTTGAAACATGGCCTTTCTAATGCTTTTTGGCATAGTCATTTCTCTATAGTCTACATTGATGCTGTTGTTATCTTCTCTGAGTCCATAGAACATGAATGGAAACATATGCATCAGTTGCTTCAGAAAGTTAGCCAAAATGGTGTAGTTGTCTCTGCCAAGAAAATGAAGTTGTTTGAAACCACTGTTAGATTTCTTGGTTTTAACATAAGCCACTCCCAAATTCATCAAATTGACAGAGTCATCCAATTTGCTGACAAATTCCCTGATGAAATCATTGATCAAATGTCCTGATCAAATCGTATAATGCTTTGTAAATGCCCCAGCGGAGGGTTAGGGATATTGTTTCGGCTAACAACCCCAAACATTTCTGTCCAGATTGGATGAAAATAATTAATATACGAAAGTAAGTATTACACCGAACCACAAAAAACAAAACGGCTACAATGTGGGTGGGGCAAAAAAATTTGATATGGCTGCAAGTTCGGCCAAATGAAGGATATTTTGTTATATGCCTGTACAAAACATGTCAAGTACAGAAGGTCAATAACCGCATTGTCAGAAAGGAAACGTTTGTACAGCCCTTGTACTATGGAATACAAGTACTGGCGAATTACGTTACACAAATTAGGGAGCTTTAGTTTTAAAACACAATATAGTTTACTAATTTGGAAGATAGGAATACAATTTATCTCATTTGTATAAGGCCAAAGACCAAATGTAGTACCTAATTTTACAAAAATATCATTAAAAAATATCAAAATTACACACAATGCCACTCCTTCTAAGGCAAGCATACTATGCCACATGTCTATATCAAGCCAACCACCATAGCGGAATCCCGCCGCTGGCCACCATTGCCGGAATCCCGCCGCCGGCCACCACCGCCGGAATCCCGATGCTGATTCCGGTCACCACCGTCGGAATTCCGATGCCGGTTCCGGTCACCACCGCCGGCCACCTGCCACCACCACCGCCCATCGCCGGCCTGCCACCGTCTGCAAGGGACCAACTCCGTTGGCCTTTATTCACCTTTAAAAAAAAGATTTTGTGTCATTGAATGGACTCGAACCTTTACCCTCAAAGGAAGAAGGCTCACTCACAAACCACAACACCAAACTTGTAATTTTGTAATTATTTATTCAATTTTATATAAAAAAATCAAAAAAAAAAAAAAAAATATTTAATTAATAAAAAAAAAAAAAAAAAAAAAAAAAAAAAAAAAAAATAATTCAACACTTATTCACACAAAAATTGCAAATAAAAACAGAAACTACAACAAAAATACAATGTAGATATCAATTATGTTAAAAAAAACAAAAACAAAAACGAACATGAAAACAGCTACAAAAATAATTGTAATTAAATGAAAACTGCAATGTAGTTTCCAAAACTGCAATGCAGTTTCCCGTTTCCAAAAGTCCAATTTTGAGTTCCCTTGCTCTTGGGTAGTTCTACTCTTCTCTTGGCCACCCAATTCCTCATCTGGGTAGCCTCTACTCTTCAAATTGGTGAGGTTGAAGGCCAAGGAAAGAAAATAAATCAAATTGTAATTAAATGAAAACTGCAATGCAGTTTCCAGTTTCCAAAAGTCCAATTTTGGGTTCCCTTACTCTTGGGTAGTTCTACTCTTCTCTTGCCCACCCTATTCCTCATCTGGGTAGCCTCTACTCTTTAAATTGATGAGGTTGAAGGCCAAGGACAGAGCAAAAATCCAATTATAATTTTGAAACTACAATGCAGTTTTTGAAACTGCAATGCAGTTTGTGCGAAACTGCAATGCAGTTTGTGCGAAACTGCAATGCAGTTTGTGCAAAACTGCAATGCAAACCTGTGTAAAATTTCACTGAACTAAAGCTTAAATGGTATTGCAAGATATTATATGACAATGATGGCATCAATCATTTCCAAATCAAGACAAATGCATAGTAAGTGAGCTCTATAATAAGAAGTTGCAGCTAAATTAGATCACTGCCTGACCCAAATTATGTGCTATATAAAACAACGTTTGTGCTATATAAAACAAGACCAAATTATGTACAACGAACAATGAGCATAGAATAAGATATGTCAACCTCCAGACTTGCGCGATGAGTATAGGCCCTAAACAAAAGGAGAAAATATATTTGAAACAAGCAAAGGGAAAGTGGCAATCCTTGTATTAGAGCTATATCAAATTGATTTAATAAAAAAGAATTCTAGCTACGTTCTGTCACTTGCCTGCCCAGCTGGATTACTAGTAACACTAAGCATGCTAATTGAAAAGACACTGGAACATGCAATGGAAACATATCAAGGTAACAGAAGTTCCTTCCAGATCAACTAGATGAAATTGAATTTGATTCTTCGAAGCAGCTTCTTGTTTCTCAAGTATTTTGATTTTCACAAAATTGACCAAACATAATCATTTGTATCAAAAAGAAAAAAGAGAGGCAATTATACAACAAAATGGATCCAACAACACCAGGCCATCTTTTCAAACAAACAAACAAAAAAGAAAAAGAAAAACCTATCAAATTGTTAGGATGAACATAATTTTCAAACCCCCAATTTCAAATACAAGCAAATGCATTAAAAGAGAATGAAAGAGAAAGAGGCTCTCACAGGTGGAGGAGAGTCGATCTCCTTGAAATACCCAAGCATCCTATACACACACACACAAGAAAAAACTGAACCAAGTATCAATTGACTGATTCCAGGCATCTAGAGCCAATAACCAAACTTAAGTGAACAGAACTTTCAAAAGCCACGCCAATATCTTCTTTCACCAACTTTCATGAAAAGGGATGAAATGGGAAATGCATCAGCTTATGCTACAGGATCACCATTCTCGCAATTCATCAATGAATTTACCAACAAATGATAAAAATTTGCTTAAGACGAACCATGATCTCAAATTGTTATAGGAGAGTAATCTATAGGATACTAATCCAGCATGCAACAGATCAAAATTATATCACCATATAAAGGAGAAAATTTATTTGAAACAAGCAAAGGGCAAGTGGCAATCCTTACATTAGAGCTGTATCAACTCTGGAATCAACTTCAAAAGAAAAGAAAGCTCCCTCTGCGAGAACTCTGGCTTTGATTTCAATTGCATTTGCATCTTCCCGTCTCCTTCCAACAGATTCTTGTCCCCCCTGTCTTCAACTATTGTTGGCTTAATCATATCCGACACTGCCTCCGTGATCTCTTGCACAAGATCTACTATCACTCCCTCGATTCCCATTAGGTGCTGCATCTTGCCATTGCCAACGACTCGCTGTACGAAGTCACAGCCACTTTGCCGTCACGACTCGTGGGACTCAAGAGAGAGAGAGAGAGAGAGAGAGAGAGAGAGAGAGAGAGGAGAGAGAGGAGAGAGAGAGAGAGAGAGAACGGAGTCCCCTGGACTCAGGAGATAGATCTGGTTTTGGCAAAGGCTCTTTTAAACAGGGCAAAATTGAATTTGAACTCTATAATTTAGATAGGCCCAAAGAATATGAGCCTCCTCTTTGGCCTAATCCAAAATAACAATTCTTTCATAGGTATTAAAACCCAAACTAAAATACACAATGTTTCAGATACTAATTAGTAAAGTTAATTATGTCTAATACCTAATTTTTCTCACAAATTAACACCCTGCAACATAGTACAAAATCAGCACCCTTCATTGCCATCTGTACACAAAGTCAAAAATGGTGCCATGTAAGGCAAAACATCGCATTCATTTTCAGGAATGACAAAACGACGAAACAGCCTGCAACTTCTGTGACATACATGTACAGAATCTGTGATGTCAATATGGGTATGAACCTGAAAGGACCACCTGCATAGGAAGGCCAAATGTGCCGAGAGTTAGCATTCATAGAAAGGGAAACTTGAACGTCTTAATAATTGGAGCTATTTTAAGAAGTAATTCTATTGAGATGTCATAAACAACATGATACAAGTTTTGGATGATACACAGTCAGAGTTCAGAACATATGCCATACTTAAATCAGATGCCAGTTGCAAAACATGTACATTACCATCTACGGTGTTGAAATCCCCAATACCCTAAACTTTGATTAACAATAGTCGCCATTCGCATTCATAACACTTGGAAAAGATGCCAACATACTGTAAGTTGTCTGAAATGAAGACTGAAAGCACAACTCTGTACGTACGACATAATTAAAAGTAGGCAAATAACTAGGCAATTCTGAAGCAGTCCTTAACAGTGAATTCATATGAGGTCAGATATGGACTTTTACCTCATACATAGGCCTCTCCCCTGAGAGCCTCGATTGCAAGCTTCAATCGGTAGTAGCCAAACTTGGCTGGGTCAATGGTATTAAAAGGAATGCCAGCACTGAGATACTCAATAAATTTGACGGTCATAATGCCACATGAGGTACTGTCCACCCGAGCAGTACAGAAGTTAGAAGTGCACATACTGACAACATGCACAAAGTGCTTTAAATGAACACAGCTTACCCATCACTTTGCTGAGGAACATCGGAAATTCTGCAAATTGTGAATGGGTTAAACGTTGGCATGTCAATCCCCTTTTTCTTCACCGCTTCAACCTCCGATTTCTCATAAAACCTCATGTCATACAACACCTTTGCAAGCGTCTGGGTAATAGGCTCCATCTGTCGGACAAGCATTGTGTTGGAGGTAAAAACAGTATACGAGTCGTACACAGTGGCAGTATGTCTGACAAAGTCAATTTCTACAGCCACCCAATGGGACTGTCGAACATTATACGGGAGATAGACCTTGCGGACTTTCGTCCATGCTTGTGCATAACCATGTTGCCATGAACCCAGACAAAGTGGTGTATATTTCTGAGGTAGTTAGGGGGAGGGTCAACAGTCATTGAAGCAATTTGTTTCCTCGTAACTCGTTTCGCACTTGGCGGTGTAATTGGCTGTAAAAATTGCTGCAAACAAGTGTGAAAGACACGTTACATGAACAGGATCCAATGCACCAAACACAGCCAACAACATTACTCCTACCAATGCAACAAATTGAATGAGACATAATATGAATACAATAATACCTGCAGACAAAACTCGGCAGTTGTCCACTCCGTTCCAAATACTTGGGGATGAGAGAGTTGTCTTTTGCGTATTAGAAACATGGCCATGTCAAGGTGCTGACATTTCACAACACAACAACGACCTCAATATTTAAAAAAATGGCCACATACTCAAAGTGATCAATTCAGAAATTTTTCGAAATAAAGCACGGTTCAAAAGTATTACCCTCGAGCTCATCCATGCAGTTTCATCTACAAGTTTGTAAAAAAAATCCGCCCCAACTACAAATGGTTCGAGCTCCAGCTCCGCACTACACAAAAATAAACTTGCAAAGGTAAATTCAACCAGAAAAAAAAACTAATGGACACCTTGCATAATATGACAATGACACACACACGAACAATTAGCTACGTAGATATTGTTATTGTACATGACTGCATACATCAAAAAACATGTATATTGGTTTAGTTAAATGTTACAATTCCTAACCTGATGTCACTTTTCCAAGCCTTGCAAACTTGTATCATAGCCTTCACATCGTCCATGGCCACGGGTTGTGTTGGATCAAAACGGGCCTCAGGTGTCTGTGCATGAAAACCAGTAGTCGGCCTCTTTTTCCTGGAGGGATCAGTGAATGGACTCAACAATGTTTTCGCGCGCCGCTTCAGTCTGCATCCTTTGCCTTCCGCATCTGGTTTCTGAACCGTGGCATTAGCCTCCTTGTCCACTTCATCACCAACCAGATTTATACTAGTTTCCATGGGAGGCCTCGCCTTCCGTCCCACCCCCTTAATTTCTTTCTTATTCCAATCCTCTAACAAATTTAACATTGTTTTACAAATAACTCTGTACCCTTCCCTATCTTCCGGACTAGGAATGAGGGGTTCTTCAAGACTAGGAACCTTCACATCTTCCGAAGTAGGAACCTTGTGAGGTTGTTGGTGCACTTGTTTGTTACAAACTGAAGTGTCAATTTCAGCGGCTTCGACTTCCATGCCTGGGAAGCCTTCCACAATATCAGCAGGGACTTCGGCTTCCCTTTTAGCCCTTGTATATGCATGGCTAGAAAAGCTTCCACTCCATCAGCAGGGACTTCCGCTTCCCTTTCAGCCCCTTCCACTCCACCATAGACTGTTGCTTCCATTTCAGCCCGTTCTGTATGCATGCCTGGGAAGGCTTCCACTCCATCACCTGCAACTTGTGCGTCCATTTTAGGCCCTGCTGTAGTCGGAGTAGTAAGTTCATTCAAGGGTGACATTTCATTCTGCCCTCCTTCATTCATCTGAGCAGTCCACACTTCCTCATGCCCTTGTCCACCATATAATTTTTTAACTCCTCCATCTCCAATTTAAAATAATGTTCCACTGAAGCAATTGTTAGGGTCAAATCCCCAATAGCCTTTTTATTTCTGTCACACTCCTTCTCATGCTTCAAACAGTTCTTGTCTACAATAGCTTCCAATTCACGAACTCTGTTCCTAAGGCCCCGATTTGAACTACGTAGCTTTGCTAACTCATCCTTAGTGCTTTCTAATTGATGCTTCAACCTGCCAAAGTCATTAAAAGACCCTTTGCCCTGCATAAAGTTATAATGCAACAGTTAGAAATCTTACAAAAGCTAAGAAAACTATTTCCACTTCTTTCGTATCGTATTCTCTACATGTTCACAACATTGGAAAAAGGTCGTGCTCACCTTAGAAGAGGAGGGAAGGGTAGTTGTTTCCTCAACATCCGCCTCTTTTTCTTCACTAGAAGTGCTGGTTTTGTCTTCGCCCTCATCCCCAAACAATTGAACAATTTCTTCATTGTTCTCATCATCGCCCCAACTCCAGTAAGGTTGTTGCTTCTCAATATCAGTCGGCCGGAGAAGTTGCACATCAACCTCCATTTGAAACACATCTAATAAATCAGTAAACTTTTGACTTGTTCCTAATCATAACCTGAGTAATACAAACTGAACTAACCTCAAAGTTTTCATAAACCTGACTCATAACCTCCCGAAAACGGGCCACCGTGTTGCTCCTCCAATGTAATATTCGAGGGATGTGCCTATTGTCTTCATGGACCGTGAAATGCAATCCTTCCAATGCTGGGAAGACTTCAAAAGCCCAAATCTGTTGACAACAATCAAACATCAAAATCTGTAAATGTATTTAAATGAACTAAAACATTGTTGGATATGTGTTCACCTGAAGAGCGAAGCCAAACCCCCTTATGATGTACTCTCTGGCTCTACTGCATTCCATTCTTGTCTCCGCTCTCTTCTTCCCACGTTTGTTGGGCTTTTTTCTGTTTTGGGGCACCTTCACTCGTTGGTAATCAGGAGAAACTGCCCTCAAAAGTGAAGCATTTGTCATCGCATATGACACGGCACCCCATGGATACTTGTCAAACTCTTCTAAGTCTTCGGCCAACTTCAAATAGCGCAAGTCAAAAAGCACATGCTTTTCAGTACCCAATAGCACAAAAATGGCAAAATAGACCATTCCAAGCTTTAACGCATCGTCATCATCTGTGCACTCAATGAAGGCAGTGTGTAGGTCCAAAAGGGTGGGAGGTTTATTGCTACTGAAGTATTTTCGCTTCAAGGAGCAGTTTTCATTTGTCGCCTTCGGAATGAAAGGGAGCTTTCCGAACCTTAGGCCCGTGATGAGGCAAAAGTGTTGGGCTGTGAATTGTATCAACTTGTTACCCACAATGAATTTTATCCCGTTCACCTGTGTAACTGTCTTAGGATCAGCTTTCCTCATCAACAGCCCGTGGACAACTTGTGAATTCCACTTCAGGTCCTCTATCAGTAATAGATGACCAAAACAACTCCCCTCGAACCTCTGTAACTGCTGCGTATTGAACTTCGCCTTTATTGTTGTAATGGCGGTCCTTGCGTGTGAAAGGGCAAATGGCTTTCCTTCGTACTTCTCATCCTCAGGAATCATAAGCTTTGCTTTACAAGCCATTCTAGACTTCCCTGCACAACAACATCATACATATGGATCATTGGTTACCCATATGTCATACGTACAGTACTCAAACTAATACTTTCAAGTCATTTCATATATGTATATACATATGACAAAACCAGAATTGTTTTGAACCCTCTTTTCTACTCTCCAACTCTCTCCACACTCTGCTGTTATCTACATTCCCTTCTACAAAATCTATATTCGATTCCATCCAAAAACCAAATACCACCCAAGTGTGAAAACAAGTTCATGAACCATGGATCCACTTCATACAGGGTTTTGGCGAAATGGCTACAACAATTACTCCAAATGCATCAATGCGTACTAAAATCTACTCATTACCATAGTCATATACATGTCTACTCATGGAACATCAGTATTGGCAGTTATGGACTCTGTGTACAAACTAGACACGTCAAAATGTTACTGCAGCTGCAACTGCTAAACATAGCTGGATGAACATGAAATTTCTAAACAGATACTAAAGCCCAAGAAAATACCATTTTCAGACATATATGACAAGCTGCAAGCAAGGACTAACAACAACATTTAGCAGGTTTTATAGCACAGGGAAAAGAAACATCCCACGCCAACTTACATTAGTATTTCAAATTCACATAATTAACCATTGAGACTGGAAGGGTGCAAAACTATGCTACTAGGTGCTGAAACAGCAATGATACCAACAAATTTACTTATGCATTATTACTCAACATCTAATTTAGGGCCTAGTGAGGTAAACCTGTGTTATAATGGAATAGCCATTGCCACCAGAATAAATTCCCACACTAATTATGCATCATCAAATGGAAGTGAAAACACGCATCACAAACGAACCAATCCCAGATGACAAATACCAACTTAAGGCACTTCATCGTCCACAGAGCAAAATCAATACACCAATACAAGTTTCATCCAAGCATGAAATAATTCACAGTTAAAATACATTATTATTGCAATCTCTGTAATTACTAAACTTCACAACATCAGTCACAGGTTACTGAAATTATCCTTCTCAAATGAAAACCATACAAATGCACAAACTAGTCAATAACAAATACATAACCAACCTTAGAATCACTCGTTTTGTGCACAGAACCGAATTGGAAATCCGAGCAACACCTACAGAAAATCGCGATTTTTGTCCCTCACAGGATTGAGCAGGAGGAGGAAGTAAGTGAACTAAGTCTGAACCGAAACCAGGTTTTGGGGTTTTTGAGGCCCTCAAGGAGCAGAGGAGAAGAGAAAGACTTCGATTCAAGACATGAAAAGAGAGGGAACTGAGAAATCGTTTAAGGGAGATACCATTTATTCGTGAAACCCTAAACGTCAATAACCGCCTCCCCAAACCCTAACATTGACGGCAGAGAGAGAACGAGAGAGTGTTGCTTAGGTTTGGGGACAGAGGGAGACAGAGAGTGGTGGTGGCCGCTGGACAGAGAAAGCGCCGCCAGAGAGGAAGAGACGAGCTGAGAAGACGGAAGTGTTAGGTCGCCAATCCATGCCCAATAACTCCCCAATAGATATGTTTTTATATGGAGGGCACTTCGGTCATTTCACGTCCCCAAGTGATTATATTAGAATACAATTTGTAGGCTGATTATTTCAGCACACTGTTTCTGAGTTGTGATTATACCAGCATATTTCCCCAAGAATCAAAGCAATAGCTATGCTATATTGAGTGATGTTCCAAGTTCCAACTCTAACAACATCCCAACTAGCTGATACTAGATATGTAGAGGAAAAGCCTCCTCATCATAACCAACACTACTAGAAATTTGGGCAATGAGGACCCTTTTTAGAGTCTGATAGACAAACAGTTCTTAAAAATTGCTTTTTGGCACAGAACTTTATTAAACCGTCCCTATAAACATCAAGGGACAGAAAACCGTTCCTATTGCACTACTAGACACACAAAACAGTCCCTATTGTTATTAGCATCCGTATTTTAAACGAATGGACATCAATACTGTCGTATTTTGGGAAAACGAATGTGCTTAATTTCCCATTAGGCACGGATATAAAAAACAGTGACAAAATCCCTTAGGTCCCATTTGGTTCATGTAATGAATTTGAGGGGAAATCATTTCCCATGTCATTTCCTAAGGGATGGGAAATGGAAGATTCATTTTCCACGTTTGGTAATGTTGGGAAAGTAACCGAGAGATATCACTTTATTTCCTTTCCCATATTTGTTTTGAGTATGAATGGAAAACAAAGTTTGTATAAATTTTCAATTATACCCATATTAAATCAAATAAAAAAGAATGCATTTAATGATTTATTGTAATTCTAAATTGTTAATGGGGACAAAATTGTCATGAAAAATATTTATTTAATATTGGCTCATTTTCCCAAACTTTCCCATGATGAAGGAAAACAAAACCCAAGTTGGGAGGATGGCTTCACTTTCCCCCCTACCTTCCCATGGGCCAGGAAACGATTTCTCATGCCTGGATTTACCAAACATGGGAAACTAATTAATTTTTCATCCCCAAGTCTTATTTCCCATGAAACAAATGGGGCCTCAATGTATTAGACACTGCCTTCGGTCCTCAATCATATTAGTCATTGTTCTTTAGTGGCTAATGCTATTAGTCACTGTCTTTTAGTGCCCAAAAACATTAGATTTACCCGCTCTTTCCCCAATAACATTTCATTTATCGGTCATTTTCTTCTCAACCTTCCTCACTCATCTTCGCTAGCCCATCCTCTTATCAGTCCTTGAAGACCCATCGGCTTGTTCCTGCTTGAAGACCCATTGACTTCTCATTGCTTGAAGAGAGGATTGAAATCACGTTATACATTGGTAGAATACCCCCACCTTGGAAATAGTATGTAATTTCAATGCTCAATTTCATCGTTACTTTTCATTTGTGTTTGTGGCTTCTTTTTTATTTTTGCATTTATGGAAATTATAGGTATAATGGCATATTATGGTTTGATTTATTGGTGTCTATGAAAATAGAATAATACTAGTCTTACCACATTTTTTATACCACAATTTTATACCACATGATATGGCAGCTGATGTGTATATACCACATTATGTAAAATACTAGTTTTTGTTTTTCTAATTTTATTTATTAAAATACACTTCATTCATTTAATTGATGTGTCATATGCCACATCATGTGGTATAGAAATGTGGGATAATAATGTGGTAAGTGTAGCATTACTCATGAAAATAATAGTTAATCCAAGCATGGGGTTATTGGGTTTTGAATATGTGTAGCTTGTTCAATTAAATTGGTAAATAAACGAGATTGATTATAGGTTATTTGTTTTTTGTTTTTAATTTTGGAATTTTGCTTTTGGGGTCTCTATTTTTCAAATTGTTATAATTATTTAGAAAAATTGATTGATTTATAGTTTTGTTTCCAGATTTGGATTACAGTTTCCCTCGGTCGATCTTCTACACATGGTTATCAGCCAATTTTAATGTTGTTTCCGTATTTGAGTTATAATATTCCTTGGTTGATCATCTATGCAGCATGTTGGCAATTTCAATTGTTTTGACTACTAGCTTAAGGTGTCTATTACTAGTTATCATTCAGTATCATGAACAAAGGTTGGGTATTCTAAAATCGAAGGAGCGATGACTATATGAGTGGTCTACAAGCTTTCATTGGGCATTCATTAAGTGTTGCAGCTTTTGAAGGTAATATTAAGGGCCAGTTTGGCATTGCTGTGCTATGAAAATAATCGCTGTCAGATTTGCTGTGAGAGAAATCAGCTGTGAGAGAAAGCACTTTGGCGTTTGGTAAACTTTTTTTTATAAGTGCTGTTTGTACAATAATCAGTTTCTGAGTGTTTGGTAAATTTTTTGTGAAAGTGCTGTGAGCAGTGTATAATGACTAAAAAGGGCATTATCTTGAATTAGCTTTTCTATTTAAGTTTGGTAAAAGGAAAAGCACTTTTATTTTATCTTATATATAAATTATTTTTTTTGATATTAAATATGTTTCCATCACACCCTAAATTTTGTTTTAATTATAAAATAAATAAAGTTTCCATTGAAAACAAATATATTGTAAAAAATATGGTCATAACAAAATAAATAAACATAATATGCGGCTCTTACCTGAATCTTGAAGTTTAGTAGTGCGAATCAATTTATCCAACCAGAAAAAAATCGTAGGCAATATGTGGAAGAGAAGGAGAGGAGTGATCTCTGTGAAGAGATGGCATGAAGAAGAACCAAGATAGTTAAAACCCTAAAAATTAAAGAGAAAAAGGGAAGAACGAAATTGAGAAGAAATAAACACAATATGTCTCTTACTTGAGTCTTGTGGCTTCTTAGGATTGCGCTTCAATTGATCCAACAAGAAAAAAATGGAGGAAGAATGGAAGAGAAGGAGAACAATGCTCTGTGGCTTGGGATAGAGAAGACGCACGAAGAAGAGGAGAGCATGAAATCATGTTGGGGTATTTTCAGAATATTTTAATTTTCATTAAACCCAGCGCTTTCTCAAATCTGATTGTTGCATAATCAGAAATTGAAAGCAGGTCATTAGCTGCTTTCCTTTATTGCTTTCTCCCACAGCGATTTTAAATAATAAGTGATTTTATCACAGGTTACCAAACGGGCTGGGCTTCCCAAAATTTTTAAAAAATCACTTATCACCCCAAATAAGCAATGCCAAACAGGTACTAAATGTATGTAGACATTGCTGTAATTGATTTTGGAAGCAACCGGGGGTGGTTCTAGACCATATCCTTTATGACGACATGGACCTGATATATGCAAATAAACCATGGACGACGCATGGTGAGTCGTTGTCTAGACCAACAATGAAAATTCCTAATGCAACATAGGGTGATATGTCAGCTATGTTGCAGGATGCTTTTGGTGTTCATGGGTTTGATGGCCTAGAGTCTCACCAAGAACCTACCCATGATGCTAAAAACTTCTATCGTTTGGTTGAAGAGGGTGAAATTGAATTATACCCTGGTTGTGCCAATAGTAAACTATCATTCTTGTGTGAGTGGCTGGTCAGATACCTTTATGTCAACCCTTTTGGCATATCTAAAGAAGTTTTTGCCCAAGGGTCAGACTTTGCCTTCTTCATTTTTTAAGGCAAAGAAGATCATTACTGACTTGGGATTGAGTTATGAAAAAAATGATGCATGCGAGAATCATTGCATGTTATATTGGATGGGTTATGTCGAAGATTCAAGTTGTAAGGTGTGTGGGGCTAGTCGATATAAACCTAGTAATGGTTCTAAAAGTGTTACAACCCTAAAGTAGCAAATAACATTTTACGGTACTTATACTTACCATTACGACCACTACTACAACGTCTTTACATGTCATGACATACTGCTGAGTCAATGGTATGGCATGCTGAACATAGACAAAAAATGGGGTTCTTAGGCATCCTGCTCACACCCGCTTTGGAAAAGTTAGACACCATATATCCTAAATTTGGTTATGAGTCACGCAATGTTCGTCTTGGTTTGGCTTCTGATGGGTTTAATCCTTTTGGAATGATGAACCTATCACATAATACTTGGCCAGTTGTAATGACACTCTACAATCTTCCACCGTGGTTATGTATGAAACAACCCTATCTTATGCTCTTGTTGCTTATCCCTGGTCCAAAGTGCCTGGTAATTATATAGATGTTTATCTTCAACCTTTGATCGATGAGTTGAAAACTTTGTGAGTACATGAGTTATCGACTTTTGATGCTTTCAAGTAAGAGACATTATTATGCGCGCTGCTGTGATGTGGACAATCAATGACTTCCCTGCATATGACATGTTTTTCAGTTGGAGCACTGAAGGTAAGAAAGCATGCCCAAATTCTGCATATGGCATTGACTCTTTGAGGTTGAAGCATGGCAAAAAAATTTGTTACTTGGGACACCATCGATGGCTGCCGATCGTTCATAAGTATTGGATATACATGTTCTTTCAATGGGCATACTGAGTCAAGGTTACCCCTTATTGATATGTTAGGTGCACAATATTTGGCTTCACTAAGTGGGTTGAGGTGGCAATTTGGAATGGGGAAGCAAATACAAACTAAGTGCAGGAGAGGTAGTACAAAGGATGTTTGTATTAGTCCTTGGAAAAAAGAAGAAGCATATTTCTTTTATCTACCTTATTGGAAGGATCTTCTTATACGACACAATCTCGATGTCATGCACATTGACAAAAATGTTACTGAGAATGTCCTTGGAACTTTATTGGGTATGGACTGAAAGAACAAAGATTCACTTAATGCCCAATTGGATCTTAAGGAGCTTAATATTAAGGAGAAATTTCACCATAAGACTATTGGGGAATGTACTGTATTTTGTGGTACAACATTTACACTTACAAAAAATGAGAAAGCGTTATTGTGCAAAGTACTAGCATTAGTTAGGCTTCCAGATGGGTTTTCATCTAATATTGCTAGATGTGTGAGAGAGAAAGAGAATAAACTTGTGGGGCTAAAGAGTCATGATTGTCATATCATTATGAAGTACTTTCTTTCAATTGGTGTACGTTATGCCCTTTCCACGGAAGTTGTTCCAGTTTATTATAGCTTATCTCGTTTTTTCGAAATTTGTCTACGAAAGTTGGAACGGATGTTCACTTTCATTCATTATCTAAAAGTGTTGCAGTATTATTCTATGAATTGGAAAAGTTGTTATCCCCTGCATTTTTTGTCGTCATGCTACATTTACTAATTCACCTTCCTGATGAAGCTACAATAGCTGGCCCAATTCATTATAGGTGGATGTATCCAATTGAGAGGTATATTTAAATGACTAAGTTTTATTAGTGGAATGATAAGTCAATTTATCTGTCTGTTTTTACTTGTTCTCCTTTGCTAACGAGAAAAAAGCCAAAAACTACAACATGGGAAGTTGTTCTTCCTCAATCTAACTATTGACAAACAACATAAGAAAATAGTCTAGTCAATATCTATTAGGCTGGTTCAAATTGGTTGGTCAATCTCTTACTTTAGAAAAAATTAACAGTTATGGGTAACGATGAAATAATGATTTATTTGTGTTAATCAAATATTGATCAAAAGATGCTTGTATTTGTTTTTTCTTTACATATTCTATAGTAAAATTGATATGAGTGGCTTCAATTTAGAACCTCCTAAAAGAATTCCAGTTCTTACCAAGAGGCACCCACCCCTACTTTTCCTATTTGACCTCCTTCTCTCTTGTTTAATGGTTGCGAAGCTTCGCAACCTTAGTTTAATTCATATTTATTGTATGTCTTATATAATGTAAGTGCAATGTAACCTTAACATCATTGTATACTGTTTACAAGTTCTTGTATACTCTAAAAAAATATGTTCAAAATAAATCTCGTCTCGAGGGTAGTATTGTTGAAGGCTATATTGTCGAAGAATATTTATCATTTTGCGCCTTGTATCTTGGTGATGACACAGTTCACAAGCGAAATAAACTTGGGAGAAATGTTGATGCACAAGGAAGTAACATGCGTGAAGGGTTTGAAATATTTAAAGGACTCAGTAAATCACTCGGGAGGGTCAAATATTTCCACATTGACCATCAAGAGTGGGATAGGGCGCACATACATGTCTTTTGGAACACTCCAGAAGTCCAACCTTACATCAGGTGTGATAGATAAAAACATTTGAAGTATTGTAATTGTTGTGTCAATTGACAAAGTAGTTGCATATTGAATTTGATGTTAGCTTTCATGTTCATTTTTAGGGAACATGTGGAATGTGAAAAGGCCACTCGACGTCCGCGGATGACTGTTTTAAAATCTTAACATCAAGCACACAAGTCATTTCCTCAATGGTTCCACAAACACGTAAGAATTTAATCGTCTTTTGCTATTTAACTGTTAATGTTGAACTGATTGATATGTACAAATCTAAATAGGTTTAGTAACTTGGGAAGTAAATGTAACTATGTAATATGTATATGTGGATGGGAACAAGGTCATCAACTTCTTTTCTTTGACATAGATATTTCCATTTAACTATTGATGTGCAGAACTACAACCAAATTCAAAATGGGGTTGGACAAGTTAGCGATGATTTACGAGCATTGGCTAGTGGCCCCAGAAGATGGGCCGGTCTTTGGACCAGGTGCATTATGAACAGTTTTCAGTTCCATGTGAAATCAATTGTTGATGGCTTAAAGTCACAAAATAGTGGTGTATTTGTGTTTTCTCAGACTGATAGTTATGCTACTGCCTGAGACCCGAACCTAAGATCTGGAATTGTTGACTACTACGGTGTACTTAAAGACATAATTGAATTGGACTATGGCCATGCACCCAATGTAGTGTTATTTGACTGCGACTAGATTAATCCAGATCCTCGTAATGGTTTCAAAACTGATAAATTTGGATTTACATGAGTAAACTTTATGCACTTGCTTCCACCTCCAGATACATTTATTCTGGGATCACAAGCTCTACATGCTATAGTAAGAACAAGACCTAGGGATTATTTTGACATGGGAAGCATACATAATCTGACATTTTTGCACCTCAAACTTTGGATGATGCAATTAATGACATTGATGAGGTGGAAGGAAATTTAGATATGGAAGTCATTTGGTGAACTAGCATAATCATAATACAATCAAATATGAGCTCAATAATATGGTATGCATTTCTAATAAGCTTTAAATATATGAAATATATCTAATAAAGTTGCCTTTGGTGTTAAATAAATATTGAGATGATAATGGAGAAACATACCACATTAGAAATGCATACAAGAAATAGTGTTTATGAGATGACGGTACAGACGTTAATAGTGTTTGCATGAACATTGAGATGACAATGGAGAAACATAACACCTAAAAAGTCAAGTTTGTCAATTGGTACTCAACTTTAATAGTTTTCTTCTTTAATCTTTACATACTAGCATTAACTTGCAAGATTATTGTGGGATTTTGTGACAATTTTATCTTCTGAGCAAGTATCTTCTCAACCTCAAATTTGGAACAAAACATACTTGAAAGAACCAAGTTTTTTTTTTTTTTTTTTTTTTTTTTTTTTTTTTTTTTTTTTGTAACTCTTGTATCTTGTAGTGGCTAGTATTAAATATTGTGGGAAATTATAATCAACCATACCACATCCTGCCCAATTTGTTTTTGCCTTCCGAATGACTTAGGCCATCCCCAATGGTTGGGGCTCTAAAAAGGGTATATAGAGAGCCTCATTTAGAGCTCCGATGGAATCTTTGGGGCTCTAAAGGAATCACTCCCACAATGGGAGGCTTTATATTCATGGCGGGCTCCATAGTTTTTTAAAATGTAATTTGATTTTTTTGGTTTTTTTTTTGTTAACTTTATTTTACTTTAATGTTTGTTTATGTTTTTTTTTTTTTTTTTTTTTTTTGTTTGGAACATTTCAACCAAAAAAAATCAAAATTTGGACAAGATTTGGAAATCAATATTTTATTTCATAGATACAATGGTCATCCCAAAGTTGGATATGGGTCCCTTGCATTATGGCTTTCCACCCCTCTCTTATCTACATTGTCAGATAATAATTGTGGTAGTATAGTGATATCTGGATATGGGTCCCCTTCGTTGTGGTCTTCCATCCCTATGCCATTTACATTTGTCAGATAATAATAGTGGTAGATGGATGTAGGTCCCATTCGTTATGGCTTTATATAAAAAAATCTAATATCTTCAAATTACATCTTACAATAACCGTTGGATCGAATTACCTCATATGAATCTCATCCGTTTATTTGTTATCTCTTAAACCATCACATCTTCTATAAATGAACAACCATCTTATTTTCATAAGACACCACTACCCAACTCTTGTATTCTCAATATTCATTCTTCTACCACCACACTAGAATGGCCAACAATGGATATGATAGCTCTTCTAGTGATGAGACAGGTGCCAACATAATGTTTTTGGAAATGTTCGAAAACTACCAAAGGAAAAAAATAGCGAAGAAGAAGGAGAAGACCTCGATGGTTGTCCACGGGGGTACATCGTCCTGACAACATACTATACCAAGAGATCGAGTAAGTGCCCATGGAAACCTTTTTCAAAATTACTTCTCTAACCATCTGTTGTATCCCCCTTCAAATTTTCGTAATAGATTTCGCATGAGGCGTAAGTTGTTTAATCGAATACTGGAACAAATTGTCCCTTTCGATGATTGCTTCAAACAAAAACCCGATGCCACTAGAAAGCTTGGTTTCTCACCACAAGTGAAGATAACAACCACCATACGTATGCTTGCATATGGTACGGCAGCTGACCTCAATGATGATTACTTGAAGATAGCAGAGATCACATCCTTTGAAGCTTGCAAGAGATTCTGTCATGTAGTCAACAACTTATACGAAGATGAATATCTTTGTAAACCAACTAGAGCGGACCCACAAAAACTGCTCCAAAAAGCTGAGGAACGGGGGTTTCCTGACATGCTAAAGAGGCTTGACTGCATGCATTAGGAGTGGAAAAACTGCCCAATGTCATACATGGGCCACCATGGTCGTCCAACCATAATTCTTGAAGCGGTTGCTTCTTACGACACATGGAGCTGGTACGCCAACTTCGGAATGCCGAGAATATATAATGACCTCAATGTACTATGCAAGTCACCCATTTTTTATGACGTCATTCAAGGACGTGCTCCATGGGTCTGATATTATCTGAATGGGAAACAATACAAGCAAGGTTATTATCTTCCAGATGGAACATATCCAAAGTGGAACACAATTGTCCAGTCATTTTTGAATCCTTAGGAACAAAAACATCAATTATTCTCTAGGATGCAAGAGGCGTATCGTAAGGATGTGGAGAGAGCTTTGGAATTCTTCAAGTTTGTTTTGCAGTTGTCGCGAGTCCTGCTCTCCAATGGTACGGAGAAGACATTTGGGAGGTATTGAAGATTTGCATAATTCTTCACAATATGATTATTGAAGATGAGCGTGACCAAGACAACATAACTCTTGCTGAGGACACACCATATCATGTGGAGGAGGCTCTGGTACCGCATGAACATAGATCACGCAATATACAATTAGAATCTATTAATCGGAGCATAATAAATTATCTAACTTCCCACTACAACCTTCGATCTGATATCATTCAACACTTGTGGGAGCAATATGGAACAGAACTTTAATTGTTGTCTTTTTAAATTCAGTGTTATGTGTTTAGAATTCAATAACTAAATTGCAATGTCCTTGCAATTTAGAGTTGTGTGTTTAGAATTCAATAACTAAATTGCAATGTACTTGTAATTTAGAATTGTGTGTTTAGAATTTAATGTATTTGCAATTTGGAGTTGTATGTTTAGAATTCAATAACTAAATTGCAATGTTCTTGAATTCAATCATTTCATTAAATTAAACAAACTAGAGCATTTTTAAAATAATAAAATAAAGTACAATGGAATTTAAATAATAAAACAAAGTACAACGGAATTTAAATAAAATAAACTACAATATTCTTTAAATAAAACAAACTATTAAACTATTCTAGAAATCATCATCTTCTGGGGGTTGAGGACGATAGACTTCATCCTCAAAGTTTAGCGAACGGGAAGAACTCTTTGCGATAATATCAGCTTGTTTCTGTTGGACCCATCGCCTTCTCGCCAGAGTTTGGATTGTGGCGGTTTCCTTAAACATAACCTTCAACTATTTGTTCTCAATCATACAATCTTTGTAAGACCTCATAATTTCTTTGAGCTCTTTATCATCTTGAGATGACTCTTCCACATCAGCCTTTCTTTTTAGCTCCTTAGCTTTTTTGTGTCCCATACGCCTTTGCAGTGGGTTTGAGGTTTGTGGGGGCGCTTAAGTTTCTAGAACGGATTCATACGGTGAATCATCATCTATTTATAGCGTTCACAGAGGGGGAGGATTGGAACAATTCAAGGGGTTGTCACTTATGAGCATGTTGAACAACATTCCAACAGTGGTCAAGGAGGAATGCTTTCTTGGTCCTCTCGAAAAAAAGTCGTTTTGCATCAATAATTTACACATATTATATGCAAGAGTTTAAATTAGTTGACAAAATATTAAGTTGGAAAAATAAAATTAAAAATTAAAAAAACTCACATTGTCATTTTCATTTTAGCCACTCTTGTTCAACCTTGTGACTTGAGTAAGACACTCGGAGAATTTGTTGCACATTTGGGAGATGTTCGTCCAACGCAATTTCAAGCTCTTTGATAATCTAACTTTGTATGAATTGATCTCTTATTCGATTCCACATCGTGCCACTAGATTGACAATTCTCGATAATTGGATCTTCACTAATGATTATCCAAGCTCAGCATAGAGCAACATCTTCATCAATGGAGTAATTTGCACATTTTTGCTTCGAACTTTCAGCCATTGGTGGAAAAGAGATTAACAAAAAAAATACAAAAAATTAAATAATCTAGTGAGTGAAAAATTTTGACAAATTGAGTGAAAGTGATAAAGATGTTGTGGTGTGTAAAAATTATGAGAGATATGATGGATATTTAATAGAGAGAGAATAAATGATTTTTTTAAATAAAAAAAAAAAAAAAAAAAAAAAAAAAAAAAAAAAACAAATATGGCCATTTATAGCCGTTGGACATAATGTAGTCGTTTATATCCGTTGGCACAAAGCAGTTGGCTTCACAATATAGCTGTTGACACAGCTTTGAAAATTTGGTTAATGGATGTGGGTTAGCATGCTATTGAAAAACCAAATAAATGACAAGTAGGCCTTATACAATTGCAGGCAAGTGAGAAAGACCAAAAAAGTGGGCTGCAGCTTTTTTAATTTGTAGGTCCCACTCGGTTTCAAGGGCTTCAACCAAGCTCATACATTTAGCTACTACTCCGGTTGGGCTTCAAGTTTTAAAGCCCCAAATTTGCACCATTGGGGATGCCTTTTTAATGAGAGTTTGTATTTATGGGAGCCTTGTGGTGGTTGAGCCCCAAATAGAGCTCCCATTGGGGATGGTCTTATTGGAGCTGAAATCAGTGATATGTTACCTATAATTAATTTTTGGATTGTTAAACTTGTTTGATGTGATTAGTTTGGGTTGCCCTACTTCACTACTATGGATTAATATGTATTCATATGTAATTGGGATAAGCATATGATTGTATTATGTAAATGTTTATACAATTTTATAGCCTTTTGAATGCTCATGTATCTATATTAGACTCTATGAAAGTAAATGAAAATATAATCAAATTTTTGCATACTCACCTGCATGAGATCAAGAGGAGCTATTGCCAACAAGGTGACACAATGAATGACGTTATACTTTAATACTTGGGTTTTGTTTAAAGCACATGGGAAATTATTTATGTATTGATGGTTTATTTTTTCAATTATGTGTTAAAATTTTCAAGGATTATTGTGGTTTGGTTAAATGTGTTAGAAGTAGAGACATGTGGTTTAAGAAAAACAACATTCAATATATTAACTTTCACATAGCTTTACAACAAAATAACCCATACTACAATTGTCTTCGAATTGAACAAAAGTTATAAAAAGCTTCTACATCACATCCACGCGTTCTTTGGATGTTCTACGCACTTTACACTTGTTAAAGTAAACTAAAAAGAAAATTTCTCACATACGGCTTAACATGAATCGCGATCTAGAAATTTCCCATTTTTAGTGTTGAACTTTGACACAACTTATGGTAGGCCCGTAGCAATTCATACGTTGATGATGGGGTTGCATTTTGAACCATAGATAGTCCTACCTTGTTAAGTGGTCTGGCTTCACTTTTGGCATATTAGTCCCCATGATAATTTCCATCGTTGACAACATCATAATCAATCTCCTCACTAAATTCCAAACTTCAATTAAATGGTGGGCTGATGGTGTAAAATGAGGTCTAGATCGCAGATCTAGCATGGCATAAAGTGGAGTAGTGAATGTAAAAGGCCATTATTTGGATGTGGTATTATTGGACATTGTACGGTATCATAAGCAACCCGGTTGTGTTGTTCTTATGGGATAAGCAATTCCAAGATGCTAGGGAAATATATACCTAAGAAGTCTTTGAATACATGAAGTGTGGGAGGTGGAGGTGATGCTAGAGGTTGAGGTTGAGGTGGAGCATTAAAGGATTTGGCAGGTGAATAGTATGGCTGGTTGTGGAGGTTTGGTGCCTCATCAAACTCTAACTTTCTCCTTGTACTAGCTCCATTTCCTCTTCCACTCATTTTTAGTACAAATAATTATGGAAGCAGCTTGCAATGAGCTTATATCAATTTAGGTATATATTGAGAAGAAATAATAATGACTCAGAAGAAACAAATAGCTAATTTTCTAACATATCATCATTGCTACTGTTATACCAACTATACTGTTCCAATTAATTAAATGTGTTTGTTCTATTTTTGTTTTTATTTTTTGACATTGTCATGTTTTAAACTACTCTAATTAATCGGGGACAAGAGATTCAAATATGGACACAAGAGAATGAACACGTTGCTCTAACCAATTATCCTAATTCATATAAGTTATGTATGATGTTCTTTTGTGTAGTGATTATTTGCATTTTGCATACATTGAGTGATTGACTAAAAGTAGGATTTAGCGTTTTCTAGTATAGCTTGTTTGCTATGCCAGGGTTCCAATTGACATAACTACAGTCGAGAAATGTGAATGTTAGTTCTAAAAGATAAATACCCATAAGCAACATAGATACACAAAAATACATCTAAATCTATGTCATATGTACCAACCAAGTTACATCAAAACTATTAATCCTAGTATTTTAAACATCCCCACCTATTTCCATTCAAACCAGAAAATTCTCCAATTGTGAAATAAAAATTTCTAACTATCAGTGTCAAGACATTGGCTGGGTAACTAAGAATCTGATGTACCTAGTATTGGTATCTGATTTCGAGTCACATAAGTCTCCTCAATCAACATTGCATTTGAGGGAACAGTTGGTGGGGGTGGCATGAGGTTACTTGTAGCCTGTTTGTCTTGAAAATAGCTTCATCAACGACTTTACAATCAATGATGTCATCTCCACTCCCCTACCTCCTACAATACCCTAAGGGATTGGTGTTTCTCTCATTCAACCGAGCCTCAAATTCTTTGAACTTTTCCTAAACCCTTTTTTCCCTATATTATATTTCTTGCTTTTTCATAATTATTTCCTCTTTCATTCTTTCAACCTCAACATGTGTGTGTTCAACAACGATTCTTGCTTGTTCGGCAACAACGCGTTGTTCCTTGCATTGAATTCTCAATTATTGGACTTCACTAAAAATCCCTTACTTCTCCGGAAGTACCCCCGAAATATATCTCCATCAGCACCATATCCTCGAACTTAGTTGCATTTCTTAGGGCGAAATCATTCTACATACAACTTATTTTTGAAGATCACCCGTCACCTCACACCTTGCATCCCGCTCCATTTTTTCGAGTTTCTCCAACTCATCCTATGCCAAAAATCATAGGATCAAAGACAAAGCCTGCATGGGATGCTAATGAGTAATCACAAGAATTATTTGATGATGTCCATTTACTTTTGCCTAATTTTTATAATAACCATTTTTACTACAATAGAGATTGTAAGTCAAAGAAAATAAGTGGCATTATTAACATAAAGGGAGCAAAACATCTTTACAAAGACAAATAAGCTAGTCTTCAGCCATGTGAACCATAAAAATACGCAAACAACAAACAAATAAACCCATTTTCCATTTCATTTATTCAGGCTACTCATCAACAACTTTGGTTTTCTGCAGTTTTTGGATATATATATATATAATATGGTTAGTCCTCGGACAAAATAAAGAGAAATAAAAATTCAACTAAGGCTCAAATTGTTAAACATTTACTTCCCAAATATTAAGCTTGGAGACTGAACTTACAAATTCTTTTGCCGCTTCATCATTAATTGGCTTTGGAATAGGACCCTTCTTGGTGTAAATAAGACTGAAAAATGTGCACCGGTCCAGTACTTCACCTTCACGAGGGTGACTAAGTTGTTGTATTACATACAATTCATACATTATACACAACGTGCATAAGTTTATATGATACTTTATAAGGGTTTACATTTCAATTAATGTTCTTGTAGTTCCCTTACTAGATTTTTAACATTACCATAGAGGACATGCTGCTTGTGTCCCAAATCCTAATGATATCCATAATGAAAAAAATTAAATATTATCACTATGAACTATAATCATAATAAATCCTTAAAATGCATAATAAAATCAATATTTTGCAACCTGAAATTTCAATAAATGATCTTATTAGATACTAAGTAAATTAACTCACCCATCTGTGTCGCATTTGAGCAAATGTCTTAGTTCTTGTTGTGTGGCTCAACTTTGATTGTTTGTGATTGTTCTTATTTGTGATTGATTGTTTCTATGCATGACAAACAAAACAAAACAAAATACAATTTTAGTTTAGAGTTTTGAAATTAGTTAAAATTGCTAAAATAAATCGTTATTGTATATTTACCTTGCCATCGCCGTCCCACCATTCTATTAGGTGGTGCCATTGGTTGTTGTAATTAACACATGGTCATCCGAGCAATGAAACTTGTCTTCATTTTCTGTATTTGGGTTGTAATATTTATCTTTAAGAGAAGCTTTGAATTTCTTCCAATGCTCATTCAATTTGTCCAAAGTGGTTTTCTTTATCTCATCATCTCTTTCTATAGTCTGTGGATTTGACCAATGTAAGCTTCTTACAACATAACCAACCATGTTGGAGTATTAAAATTGCTATAAACTATGTTCGAATGTAAATTAAATTTAAATTTCAGTATTCTTTACCTTAACAGTCTTTCATGCCTTGTCTGCTGCTCCACTCTTAACCAATTCCCTAAAACCAAATACATCAATTGGAAAGTATGATGCATTAGTTGCAATATTCCAAGGAACCTCACAAATTTCGCAACCAAATCAGAAAGTTTAACTGCCTACCCCACTTCATTGAACCATACTTTTTTAGGGTGGTCAACAACAAAATTTTGTTTGTTAATGCCTCGTGACTTCCTTTTACGTTTTGTTGACCTATCCTTGTCATTTGTTCCATTTGGTGCACCATTAGTTAGTCTAGACGACCCACCTACCTATATCGGCTTCCCGTACTAGTGAAACTTACTTCATGTGTCCTTACCCTCTCATTCACTGTACAATTGACATTATTATGGACCTCTTTACTCTCATGAGCCAACAACCCCAAGAGGTACTCTTCACTCTTGTGCTCATTATACATCCTTTTAGAAAGTGGATCTTGGCTCTCATTGTCTTCGGCCAAGCTTACGAACAAATTGCTTGTATTTGGTACATTTGGAGGAAACATCTGCATCACCAAATTAGCATATACACCAATGTACAAGATATTAAACAGATTGATACCAACCCCACTAGTATCCAGTTCATCAAAAACATCTCTATTATTATACATCTTTATTGACCAACACTATTTCTTAACATCTGCATCCCTATAAAGTTTCTTGACAAATGTATATTTAAAGTGCATATCAGTTAGTTTGGCTATAAAGTATGAGAATTGAGAATAATAGAATCAATATGTTTTGCAACCTCACATTTTAATTCTATATCCTGTGCAAATACAGAAATGGGTGACATTCAATCAACTTGATTCAATTAAATTTTAAATTAAACAATTGATAATGCCAAGTTCTAGCCATGCCTCCAGTAGAGAGGAAATTGAGATATAATAGAGACAGAACATTTGAATTCTATTTGTGAAAAGTTCAAAGAGAGAAATACAAGTTAAAAAAACAAAAAACACAAAATTGAACGATAATTTGACAAACTTCTTAAATTTGAGCTATTATTTCTTAAATACACTAATTTCATTAACATGTACTGTATTATTTCTTGAAACTAGAGAGCCTATATGTATGGGCTAACTTTTATATCATTTTGTAACAATCATAAAGATGATTCTCAATTAACTTTTGCTTTATATGAGTAGTGCTTTGTATGAGTAGTGAATTTAGAAACTGTTATGATTTATGCATAGCTTATATCAATTGGAATGTCAAGATGAATTGAAAGGTATTTGTGTAACACTCCCCCTTACATACTTACGAGAGATGCTACTTACCCTACCTATTTGAGAGTTAATAACAAAAGATTTGTCAATTGGACTATAACTGAAACGGAAAACCAATCGAAATTAATTCCTTAAAGAAACTCAAGGGTCACCAAACAAAATCGTAGCTCAAATGAAATAATCTAGCAGAAGCAAATCAACTTATTTAACAAGTTAGGTGTCAACCGCTTTTTTTTTTGTCCAACTAAAAGTTTAGAGAACGGAAATCCTATGGGACCATAACCAAGGACTGCTACCACCAAGCCTCCTATTACTCCTCAATAACTTTTGTACCTAGAACCACAATAAACTACTAGTGAGATAAATTCAGTACATAGCTAGAACATGCTTCAAACAAGCTCAAACAATTACAAATATACTATATATATATAAATATACGAATACTTAGCAATATGCTCATACGCTTGTGCATATAGCATGAGAAAGAATTCATGGCCTTAACTTATCCAAATTGCACTTAGAGTGATCCTTCAGTACTAGAGGCCTATCAAATAGTTTTACTGACAGATAAAGGGGCCTTATCGTCACCTGTCGGCAACACCCACAATGTGAGCCTTATAACATTTTATTGTCACCTGTCGATGACACTCAGGTTATGAGCCTTATAACTTATTGAAAGTCACCCATCGGTGACACTCATATTGTGAGCCTTAAACTTGTTGCGCACCCCCACGCATGAGGCCTCATAGTGACCTAGGATTCTCTAGTAGTCCTTACTTAAACTAAGTCACAGCCAAATGGTGTACTAAGACTTGTACATGACTTACTCATACCTACTTGCCATGGTTTAGACACACTTACATACACCAATCCAACGAACTTACATAGCAGCCATGTTACTTGCAAACATACAAACATAGCAATCAAATGATATAATCACATATACATTTACTTATTTACGTATGTATAGGCACACATTCACATATATATATGTATATATTTATCATAGTTCCAGAGCAAGTCTAGGATACTTACCTCGCAGTGAGCACCCCACACAAAACCACTTGAGATATAAGCCTTAAACAAGTGCTAACCTTCTCGAACCCTCCTCTCTAAACTCCAGCCGTCAGTCTGCCTCCAGAAAACCCTTTTCCCTTTTCCGAACTCTCTCTCTCCTTTTTGGGCATTTTTCTCTGTAACCAACTGAGCTAAACCCTAAAGTTCATTTTTAAATGTGTCACCTAATGGGCCAGCCCTAATCTTAGCGCTAAAACCTTAGCTGGTCTCATAAAACATATCGGAGAGTCAGCCCGCTCCCACTAACCTACTTGGGCTTCCGTAAATTAAAGTATCTGGGCCTAAAAGCTTATAATAAGCGTAAGTTTACCATTAAACTCAGCCTTATTCACAGATATATCATAGTACAACATAAATTAAGTTTCTTACCTATGGCTTTGTGTAGGCTCTTCCAAAACATGGAAGTAAATCTGGGGTCTCTATCAGACACAATGGACACATGTACTCCATGCAACCTCATGATTTCATCCACATATAATTGTGCCAATTGATCCATTGAGTACGTATTTTTGATTAGGAAGAAGTGAGCACACTTTGTCAGCTGATCAACAATCACCCAAATAGCGTTAAATCCCTTGTCAGTCCTTGGTAAGCCTACCACAAAGTCCATGGATATCCTATCCCATTTCCAAATCGAGATCAACAACGGATTTAAAAGCCTAAAGGGCCGTTAGTGCTCTATCTTAATCTGTTGGCGGGTCAGACACTCTTCAACATGATGAGCTACTTCCGTTTTCATGTAAGGTCACCAATAAATGGCTCGTAAATCTTGATACATCTTGGTGCTTCCCGGGTAGACCGAGTAAGGCGAACTATGCGCCTCAACTAATATCTCTTTCTTAATTGAATCGTCGTTGGGTACGCACACCCTCTTTCCAAGATGTAATACCCCATCTTCCGACACCCTAAAATTTGATTCTTTGCCTTCTAAAACCCTGTTTAGGATGTTTCCCATCTCAGCATCCTTTTTCTGACATTCCTTAATCCTATCCATCAAGGTAGGTTGTACTACCAATGTCGCCAAATATGAGCTATCACCTCTTCCTCGAACGTCAATACTAAGCTTCTCAAAATCTCTTGTGATTTCTAGTTGGGTAGTTAACAGTGCGGCGATATAGCCTGTAGTCTTCCTACTTAGAGCGTCTACTACTACATTGGCTTTCCCATGATGGTAATTGATCACACAGTCGTAATCCTTCACTAATTCAAGCCATCACCACTGCCTCATATTGAGTTCCCTTTGAGTGAATAAATACCTAAGGCTTTTATGATTCGTGTAAATCTCACACCTTTCTCCATATAGATAGTGCCTCCAAATCTTTAGTGCAAATACCATAGTTGCTAACTCCAAATCATGGGTCGGATAGTTCTACTCATAAGTCTTCAATTGTCGAGATGCATATGCGATCACCTTCCCATTTTGCATTAGTACGCATCCAAGCCCTTCCTGAGAAGAGTCACTGTAGATAACATACCCACTTGAACTAAAGGGTATGGTCAAAACTGGGGCAGTCACCAGTCGATTCTTAAGTTCCTGGAAGCTCTTCTCACGTTCATCGCTCCATTGAAATTTAGCATTTTTCTTAGTTAGCTGAGTAAGTGGCATTGCAATTTTAGAAAATCCTTCAACAAAATGCCTGTAGTAACCAGCCAGTCGTAAGAAAATTCTTACTTCCCCCACCCTTGTGAGGGTTGACCAATTAGCCACAGCTTTGACCTTATTAGGGTACACAGCGATCCCGTGGTCAAGATTATATGGCCCAAGAATACAACCTGACTAAGCCAGAATTCACACTTCTTGAACTTTGCAAACAGTTTCTCTTTTATTAAAATTTCCAAAACCTCTCTTAGATGCTTCTTGTGTTCCTCCTGAGTCTTGGAATGCCATTGATGAACACAATGACGAACTTATCCAAGTATTCATTAAACACTCGATTCATGAGGTCCATGAAAGCTCCTGGAGCATTCGTTAAACCAAACGGCATCACTAAAAATTCATAATGTCCGTACCGTGTGCGAAATGCGGTTTTAGGAACATCTTCTGCTCTAACTTTCAACTGATGGTAACCCGATCTAAGATCAATCTTCAAGAAAACACTTGGTCCTTATAGCTGATCGAATAAATCTTCTATCCTCGGAAGTGGATAGTGACTCGTTTGAGTTCCCAGTAGTCGATACACAACCTCATTGTCTCAACCTTCTTACCAAATAACACCGGTGCTCCCTATGGTGAGACACTTGGTCAGATAAATTCCTTATCCAATAAGTCTTATAACTGTTCTTTTAACTCCTTAAGCTCTGTTGGTGCCAATGGATAAGGGGGTTTCAATATAGGAGTCGTGCTTGGTAAAAGTTCAATTTCGAACTCGATTTCGCGATCCGTCGGTAATCCTTATATGTCCTCCAGGAGCACATCTGCATAGTCCTTAACAACTGGAATATCCTGCATCTGACTCCCTTCTTTCTTGGCCTCGAACACACTGGCTAGGAAGCCCACACACCTTTTTTTCCTGCAAGAATGATATCACCCTTGGTAGTGATTGCACTTTAGCACCAACAAAACAAAACTCAACATCTTTGGGTGGTTGGAAAACAACCTCCTTCGCAAAGCAATTCACCAAGACACAATGAGTGGACAACCAATCCATTCCTTGTATAACATCAAAATTGTACATATCCATGAAGTCCGCTCCAAGTTCCCTGCCCGTTATAGTTATCGCATAACCTTTTAGCATCTCTTTGCAATTCAACACCTCCCTGGAAGGGGTGGCCACATAAAACTCCGACTCTAACTTAACAGGCTTACCACTAATTTTTCTAGCAAATCTAGAGGATACAGAAGAATGTGTTACTCTAGAATCAAATAAAGTAAACGCAAGCTGTCTAGATACTAGGATCGTACTTGCCACCACAGGTGCTGCATCTTCCGCCTCGTTCATAGTTAGGTCGTAAACTCTTCCTTGTACCCTTTGATCCTTCTGTGTTCTTTCTTGATCTTCTTTAGTATTTGGGGAGTTTTGTATGAAATGTCCAATCTTTCCACAATTGAAGCATGACCCAATCTTCTTATGGCAAGTCCCCTCATGGTTCTTACCACACGTGTCACAGACTAGGACGTCCCTATTCTCTATGCCATAAACTTTTGGCTTCTTGCCTACTCCATTCCCATTATCATACCCCTTCCTGTTATCCTTGTTCCATGGTCTCTTTAGTGCAGAGTTTTGTCCATTGTCCTTCGTTTCAGCAACTACGATAGACTTCTCGGTCTTGTCCAAAATTTGTGCCTTCCTTAGGACAGCACCATAAGTTGGGAGCTCCAGAATTTCAATAGCTCTTCTTATTTCAGCCCTTAAGCCTCTCTCAAACCTCTTAGCCTTACGTTCTTCAGTGTCTACCAAGTAAGGCGCAAATCTCATCAACTCTTCAAATTTCCGCTAGCACTCTAACACCGTCATTGACACATGAGTGAGTTGGACAAACTCAGCTTCCTTGTCTGCTTTCAGTGGTGCAAAGAATTATTTGTCGTAGAATACCTCCTTGAATCGATCCCACCCCATGGGACTGTTGGCGATGTCATATGCACGATGAGCAGATTCCCACCAATGTCTTGCTCCTTTCTTAAGCATAAAGGTTGCACAAGTCACCTTCTGTGCGTCTGGGCAGTCAATGTAGGTAAAAATACTCTCCAACTCGCTGATCTACTCATCAGCTGTAAGAGGGTCCCTTTCACCCTCGAAGACCGGGGGTTGATTCTTTCTAAATTGTTCCACCATTCTGCTCGACCCTTCATTCCCTCTCTGCATGGTATTCTCCTATGACATCATCATGCGGAAAAAGTCTTGTATGTTACTCGGGACTACTTCTTGGCTGCTTCCCCCACAACTATCCCTACCTCTTCCAGCCATAACTATGTCCTTTCGATACAAAATACACGTCTTAGTTTAAGTAAGTGGGAAATATAGTAGTAAAGAAACATCAACTTTCAATCATAACTTAAGACAATTCACGCACAAAATATCAATGACCAATTCAAAACTTCATACACGTCATAGCAAGGTAAACAATTTAAATTTAATCAAACCACAAGTAACTATCTAGTCGACCCTCTCACGTCGCACGGTCATCAAGGTGCTATTCTCCCTAACAGGGAACATATCAAGTACTACTATTTGCCACCTAGTGGGGACACCAGGAGTTTAGACAAGAGATTCAGCAGAAGGCGAAGGTTTCATGGCTTTCACCATAAGATTCTTATGTCGAAGTTGCTTTATTAATGTTTCGCCCTCTCCCAAAAACGCGTAACTCAAACTTCACGATGTACCTAACACTCTCCTTTGTAGCCATGCACTTTATCTTGGGTCCTTTGTAAAGACGGAGCCGTTGCTGTAACTTAAACTTTTCTCGCTGCAACTCATCTTCCTTTCGCTTATTAATTACCTCCCTAATATTCTTTACTAGAATTCCATTCGTGATTAGTTGACACGAATGGAACTTGTTGAATGTTGGATGCTTCCCATGTTCCCCTCCTTTCATATTCATACTACAAGATGCAAACAATTCAAACATGGGGTTTAAGAACAATCAACAAGGTACAAGGAAATTCAAGATAGCGGACACATACACCTATGACTTAGCAGCAACTGGTCCCATCTACTCTCACAAATCCTATAGTCTAAAGCGCTAATAGTCCCCTTAAAACATTGCTATGATACCAACTGTAGCACCCCCCCCTACGTACCTCGAGAGGTACTACTTACCTTGCCTACTTGAGAGTTAATAACAAAAGATTGGTCATTGGACTATAACTAAAATGGAAAACCAATAGAAATTAATTCCTTAAAGAAATTCAAGGGTCACCAAACAAAATCGTAGCTCAAAAGAAATAAGTACATTTAGCGGAAGCAAATCAACTTATTTAAAAATTTATGTGTCATCTTGCAGAAGCAAATCAACTTATTTAAAAAGTTATGTGTCAACCACTTATTTTTCTTTTTCTTTTTCTTTTTCTTTTTCTTTTTTTCCAACTAAGTCTAGAGAAAGGAAATCCTATGGGACCATGACCAAGGACTGCTGCCACCAAGCCTCCTATTACTCCTTAATAACTTTGGTACTTGGAACCACAATAAACTACTAGTGAGATAAACTCAATAAGTAGCTAGAACATGCTTCAAACAAACTCAAACAATTACAACTATACTATATATATATATATATATATAAATATACTAATACATAGCAATATGCTCATACGCTTGTGCACCTAGCGTGAGAAAGAATGCATGGCCTTAACTTATCCAAATTGCACTTAGAGTGATCCTTCAGTACTAGAGGCCTATCAAATACTTTATTGACAGATAAAGGGGCCTTGTCGTCGCCCATCGGCAACACCCACAAGGTGAGCCTTATAACATTTTATTGTCACCCGTCAATGACACCTAGGTTGTGAGCCTTATAACTTATTGAAAGTCACTTGTCGGTGACACCCACATTGTGAGCCTTAAACTTGTTGCGCATCCCCATGCACGAGACCTCATAGTGACCTAGGATTCTCTAGTAGTCCTTACTTAAACTAAGTCACAGCCGAATGGTGTACTAAGACTTGTACATGACTTACTCATACCTACTTGCCATGGTTTAGACACACTTACATACACCAATCCAACGAACTTACGTAGTAGCCATGTTACTTGCAAACATACAAACATAGCAATCAAATGATATAATCATATATACAGTTACTTATTTACGTACGTATAGGCACACATTCACATATATATATTTATCATAGTTCTAGAGCAAGTCTAGGATACTTACCTCGCAGTGAGCACCCCACACAAAACCACGTGAGATATAAGCCTTAAACAGGTGCTAACCTTCTCGAACCCTCCTCTTTGAACTCCAACCGTCGGTCTGCCTCCAGAAAACCCTTTTTCCCTTTTTCCAAACTCTCTCTCTCCTTTTTGGGCGTTTTTCTCTGTAACCAACTGAGATAAACCCTAAAGTTCATTTTTAAATGTGTCACCTAATGGGCGAACCCTAATCTTAGCGCTAAAACCCTAGCTGGCCTCATAAAACATATCAGAGAGTCGGTCCGCTCACACTAAACCTACTTGGGCTTTCGTAAATTAAAGTATCTTGGGCCTAAAAGCTTATAATAAGCTTAAATTTACTATTACACTCAGCCTTATTCACAGATATATCATAGTATAACATAAATTATCAGGAGAAAATTGACTTAACCGAGTCGGGCCTTGAAATTGATAAAATTGAAACCTTGGGGCCCATATTAATACGCACCCCAAACCTCAATGGTGTGAAATGTCGTTAGTCCTTTATTTTATTCAATTTTCGCTTTGTTGCCTCAATCTATGTTTTTTTTTGTTGAAGAATAAGTTGACCCGACATCCAATTTAAAGCTTTTTGTTCCAAAAATCAACTAGCCTCTCATTATAACTATTAATTTCTTTGTAGACAGTATGTCTCTTCTAACTGGCCATTTCGAGAAAAATACTTGCAATATTGTCTCAATAACAATATTAGTGATGTGTTGCGGCCCTTTGAATCCCATAATTTAGCTATCCAATCATCCAGAGGAGCTGTAGGTTTGAATTGTACTCATTAAGAAGGTGAAAATGTCGATTACTTCGAAAACAAAGAACCATATACCATTGAGTAGGAGATTGCATAAATTGAGTATTTTGATGCATTGGACCTTGATGCAAAACATGCCTAGTTCAACCAAAATATATAATCCAAAGTACTTCTGCCGTAAGAAATGCCATATTTTGTGTAGGGAAATGGAGGAGTGAAGCGGTCACTAGTGCTGAACAAGGACATCAATCAGTTGATGGATGATTTGAAGTTTCTTGCTAGAGAGCAATTGGTGCCTCTTTCCCTTCTTGAAGCTAGTTTCCTCTACGCTAGAGATTCCCAGAATGTGGCTTATCAGTGTACTGTTCTTCAGCAAAGCTACAAGCAATCAGAACTTTTGATGCCATTATTCAAGACTTTAAGCAAGGAATAAATATTTGTGTTGTGAGACATCAAGAACTTCAGCAAGTGAATTCTGAAGAGAAAAGCATTGAAGTCGAGATCCAAAAGTTGCAAAAACAAACAGAGAAAGAATTCCAGGCTTCTCTGTGTTCTTCACTGAACTTAACCTAGACTTTGAACATTCATATTGCTCAATCTAGGCCAAGATTAGCTAATGTTGAGGCCATTCTGTTAAGGGGCACTCAGCTTAGGGTATATGTGTTTTCAAAGCTTTCTCATTTGGAAACAGTTTTATTCAGTCTTTAGTTGTATAAACATTTGAAATGGAAATGAAAAGGTAAAAAATTTCAAAAATTTCCCTCTAATTTGGGTTAATCGTTTTATTAGTCCCTCAACTTAGACCGGATTTGCATTTGAGTACCTCAATTTCCAAAATGGTACCTATGGTCCTTTAACTTTAGTTTCATTTGGACAACTAGTCCCACCGTTACTTCTGTCAATTTTTTCGTTAAATTTAAGGGTAGATGAGTATTTTCAGGTTGGTTTTAAGGGACAAAAAAGACTTTTACTCTTTTAGATTTGGGTTAATCGTTTTATTAGTCCCCCAACTTGGACCGGATTTGCATTTGAGTACCTCAATTTCCAAAATGGTACCTGTGGTTCTTAACTTTAGTTTCGTTTAAACAACTAGTCCCACCATTACTTCTGTCAATTTTTCGTTAAATTTAAGGGTAGATGGGTCTTTTCAGGTTGGTTTTAAGAGACAAAAAAGACTTTTACTCTTTTAGATTTTTTGAGAAAACCAAGAAAACCCTTAGGCGAAGACGCCCACTTCATCTGCCATGATGCCCAGACCATCGGAGTGGCGGACGGCGTCCATAGCTGGGCCAGGAAAGGTGTTAACGCCGGTGAATACGCGAGGGGACTCATGAACCACACCAAGAAACACAGCCACAGATATAACCCGATCATCCGCCGTCGTCGTGGATCCAAGAAAGGTGTTGAATGAAGTATTAGGGTGGTTCTAGTGGAGCCAGAGTACGGCCGTGTCGAAATTTGTGTCACAAAAACGGATAGAGTCGACGCTGAAGATGAGCTTGAGGGTGGTAAGGGGATTGTGGGACCAAGCCAAGGGAAGAAGTTGCTTAAGATATTTAAGGCAGGGTGGATTAGTATACCTCCAAGGTCTATTTCAGAGGGAAGGCAAGTTGAAGGAGGATAATAAAACCAACTGAAAAGACCCATCTACCCTTAAATTTAACGAAAAAATTGACAGAAGTAACAGTGGGACTAGTTGTCCAAACGAAACTAAAGTTAAAGGACCACAGGTACCATTTTGGAAATTGAGGTACTCAAATGCAAATTCGGTCCAAGTTGGGGGACTAATAAAACGATTAACCCAAGGAAGATAATAAAACCAACTGAAAAGACCCATCTACCCTTAAATTTAACGAAAAAATTGACAGAAGTAACGGTGGGACTAGTTGTCCAAACGAAACTAAAGTTAAAGGACCACAAGTACCATTTTGGAAATTGAGGTACTCAAATGCAAATTCGGTCTAAGTTGGGGGACTAATAAAACAATTAACCCCTCTAATTTTTAAATGCATTATCATTTTATTATGAAATAATTAACATAACTATAGTACAAGAATAATAATGGTATTCGCACAACAATTAACATAAAAAATGGCACAACTGGTTTCTTTTTGGGTTTTTTTATTTCTTGAATGAGGTTTGGTATAAATTTCCATGTAATAAACGGATTACACAAACCAAAACCATTACTAGGGTAATAAACGGGTCGTATTGGGGTTGAAGATTTTTGACCCGCTTAATATTTGGAAGAGAGTGTGGTCTTGTTAGAAAATGGTGATTTATTCTTGTTTGATTTGGACTCTCGTCTAAAAACCCCCCACACTTTGAATGCAAATTTTAAATTTAATGGGACCAGATTGAAAGTGCCCTGGGATAATGATGATGGTTCGGGTAGTTCATGAAATTATAGGTGGTTGAGTTGTAAGTTCAGTTGGCACCCTAGAGTTTTGATAGTTGCACGTTCAGATGCAGTTTTCTTAGTTGATTTGAGGGCCCATGAGTGTAATGTGAGTTGTTCGATGAAAATTGAGATGTTGCATATGTATGCCTCCATTGAAAAGGAGCAGTTCCTTGTGCTTTCGAAGGCAGATTCTGATGATTTTCACTTTGTTTTGGCTTCTGACACTTTTGTTAGTTGTTTGTGATGTGCGCAAGCCATTGATGCCGGTGTTGCAATGGGCCTATGGCCTTGATAAACCAAGCTATGTTGATGTTTTAAGACTGTCAGAGTTGAGGTCACAGTCGAGGGATGACAAATTTAATTGGGCTTCTGACTCGGGTTTTTGCATTATAGTGGGGTCGTTTTGGTATTGTGACTTTAGTATCTTTTGCTATGGACCTTCCCTCCCAGCTCCGATAGGATCAGTAGCTTCGAAAATATCAGAACTTCGGAAATCCTTCTATGCATGGGAGCTCCCTTCAGATCTTTTATTGTCAGGCCATGAGTGCCATTGCGAAAGCTGTCTTGTAAAAGAAGAGTTTTCAAAAGACGCTCTTCCTGAATGGATTGATTGGCAGCAGAAGAAAGAAATTGTTTTGGGCTTCGGCATTGTAAACAAAGATCTGTCTGCTCTGCTTTCTGAGCCAGATGAATTTGGTGGTTTTACATTGATAAGGCTTATGTCCTCAGGGAAGCGTGAATTACAGAGATATTGTGCATCGTTTGATTCTGTAAAAAAAAGTAGAAGAATCACATAGAGAACATTTGCTTTTTAAGGATTATTTGCTGTGGTTATCTGAATGGTAATCTTGATGAAGTCTTAGATGACAAAATAAAAATTCCCTATAATGATCAAGGGAAGGAACTTTTTAGCTCAGAGTTTCATGAAACTTTATGCAAAAAGTTACATGCTTGTGGTTTTGGTAAGTTTAGATCATCTCCTACTACAAGTGTTTTAAATGACATTAGCTTGCCCGCAAGCATACACGAGGTTGTTTTGAAGAGATTGTGGTCAGACTTGCCCATTGAGCTTCTGCAACTGGCCTTTTCTAACAACTCTGAAATCCTTGAAGTGCTTGTGGACAAAAATAGGGTGGCTTTGGAATTCTCTGTAGTACCAGACCTATCTCAGTTGCCTCCTTTCATTTTAAGGAAGTCTTCACGCCGCAGCAATAAGTGGTCACAGAAACTGCAACCTGGTGATGCCCTTGTGGGTCCAGTTCTTCCTCTTCCTGTTTTGCTTACACTTCATGAATATCGCAATGGATGTCCGAATTCAGATGAAAAATCAGGTAGATTTTCAGCAGAGGCAGAAATCAATCACAGCTGTGATGAGGTCATATCAGCCAGTTGCGGCTAAAGGATCTCCAATGGATCATACACGGGGCAAATCTGTTTATAAGGATGACAGGTTTGACACCTTAATTTCTAAAGTGTCTGATAAGAAGCATGTATCCAACGACAATCAGGATAATGTCGGACTAGAACTATTTGATGATCTTTGCCCTGTAGAGTTGAGATTTGATGCTTGTTCCTTGAAGTTTGAACAGAAGGAATGGGAGGCATATTGTAAATTGAAGGGGGAATTCTTAAAATGGCAAAAGAGCTTTGACTTGTATCAAGAATTCTGCTCTCGTATTGAATCAAAAAGCTCATAAATGTTTATTTAATTCTTTCTTCCATGTTCCTGCAAATTTTTCACCACTAAGTTAAACCCCTCCCTTCTGTACTTGTTTTCCCTGTAATTAATTTTGATTTATTTACATTATAGATGAGTAGAAGATAACTCTGCAAGCAGATTTTAACAATGCTAGGAAAAGTTCCTGTGTATACGACAGGATCCTAATGTAAAAAGCCTTGTCAAAGGAGAAGAAAACAGTTGATTCTATACATCCATATTCTTCATTTCTCATTAAAAATTTCTGAACGTTAACAAAGCCACATGCTTACAAATTGCTGAAGAAACAACAAAGTTGATTTTATGCCCCGGTACGCACACACGTGTATAACCCACTGCAGCAATATCACCTACTTTCTGTGTCTCTCTCATGGTGGTTCATGCAAAACTACTGTTAGCTAGGGTAAATGTGTTTATCTTTGCCATGGCTTTTCAGTGAGAAGCTCTTAACGACAATGGTATGCAATTGTGCTCAAGCCTTCCTCGCTTTTGCACTTACTTCTTTGATTGGTGTTTGCCTTTCCTTCTAATTTTTGCTCAAGCCTCAAGCTCACGCTTAATATTTCGGGCATGTTGCTGTCTGTTTGTCTAATGAGAATACGTCCAGAAAATGATTTCTAGGGATCATGATACTAGATTTCTGGCATACAATTTGCCCTATTTCCATTGTGAAAAGCAGCTAGAGAAAAAAAGAAAAAAAGAAAGAAAAAAAAGCTAAAGGTTGTGTACTTGATTCAAAGTGAGCTTTTATCTCTTTTACAGTTGATTTAGTTTCTCATAAGTCATATCTGTAACTCTTCCCGTGATGTGAAGTGCCAGATACCAATATTGATTGCCTTCTAGTTCCAGGTTCACCAAATGCGTAGGCGTGCAGGGTTTTTGTGTATTATTTAATTCCAATAAATTTTACAATGTCGTATTCTCTGCAAAATTTGCAAAGTCTGAGGACTTTAAACATACAAACTTGATCAGCGTTTTCAGTATGGAGAACATCAAATGCTGCATTCATCGAGGGTGAATAAATGAAAACTTCAGAAAGATAACATGTATCAAACGTAAGACATAACATCCAATTGAGACACAACGGACTATGCCTAGTAAATTTGGTTTTCCATTGCATCACATGACCGAAGTAGGAACAGAAATCATACCAACCAAAATAGGAAAAGCACAAAGTTTGAGATCAAACCAAGGTTTAAAAAGGTGAGGCATTGAGATGAGGCCTCCCGGAGGCGAACCACAATTGTTCTCAATTACGTATTCATTGGGAAATGCAGCTAGAAGAAGTTTATTTTAAATATAAAAAAATATTCGTTCAAAGTTATTGTAGTGAGGAAACTTTGCAATATGTTGAACGTTTCTCACAGTTTATAGTTAATTTCTCATATCTGCAACTCTATTCTCATGTGTGTTGGGTTCCGGCTTCACCATATGCATTGAGGTATATGTGTGTTAACTGAGTCTAGGATCTAAGATCTTCACCAAATGCAGCAACAAATTTCACCAGGTGGTAAAGGCCTTGCTGCAAAATTTGTAAAGGTGGAAATACCCCATAAGTTTGAAGATAAACTGACCGCTTCAATACAGACAACATCAAAAGCTGCATTTGACTTGAGTCGGATCAATGAAAATTTATCGACTCACGAAATGAAAGATGAACTCATAAAACAAATGTCAAAGCTTGAGCAAGCAAGCAACAGGCTACGGATGAACTGTAATGTAGTTCAAACCTCCTACACTAACCTTATTTAAGTTGAAGTAAATGAACTGTGATGGGTCATCCAGATGTAGCTTGCTATATTATTTTGCAGAGATCTGCAGAAACTCTTCTGCCATCATAATCAAAGCAGGCCTTCAATGGATCCACCGCAGCAATGAAAATGATTAGCATAAATAAGAAGAAGAGAATTAACCACAATTATATAGAGCCCCACTGCGGCAGCATCACCCACATCTCTTTCTCTCTCTCTCTCTCTCTCTCTCTCTCACTTTGGTTCATTCAAAACCACTGTTAGCTAGGGTATAAATGATTATCATTGCCATGGCTTGTTGGGAGAAGCTCAACGACAACAATGGTATGCAATTCGCCTTCGTCAATCTTGCATTTTCTTCTCCGATTATTCTTCGCCATCAGCTCATGCTTAACTTTAATTTAAGTATATATGTGTTGGATTCAAAGTGATTGTAGTAAAGGAATTGTTATAATCTTTTTTAATCTTTTTCTCATCAAGAGTAATTTTCTTATACCCTGATGTGTTGGAATATTGACAGCCTTCTCATTCCAGCTTCACCAAATGCATTGCAGGTATATGTGTAATATTTGAGTCTAGGATCTAAAATCTTCACCAAAAAGCATCCTTCCAACAGATTTTACCATGTTGTGTTTTCAGCAAAATTTGCAAAGGTGGAACCACCTCAGAACTTTGAAGATAAAAACTTGATCAGCTTGCTTTTTCATTATGGAGATAGAGTCATCTCGCAGACAAAACAAAGTAAGCAATTAGCAACAGGCTACTGATTTGCAAAAATGAGATAATTTTCCAGCACTAGCTAAAACTCTGCTCCTCAGTCCAAGGCGAAAAATCTGGAATTCTATGATTTCTTTTTAAGACTATTCATTTGGCATGGCACTGCTGGAGTCATCTTTACTAGCTTCAGTACTATTAATTATCTGGCTTTAATGGGTTTATTTGTCCTTCCATAGAATCAGTTGTAATTCATTGTAATATATTCCTCAAGAAAGCCATTGAACAAACTTCTCCAGCTGCCTCGATAGGTTTGTACCACTTTCTCTTTCTCATCTAGTTTGAAGCAGTTCAGAGAACTTCTTCATCATCGAACAGATAGAGTCCGACGGCTGCATGTAATATTTCTTCATCAGTTCAAGTATTCACTCAGTTTATTACATAAAAAATATGCTGACATAATAGTTTTTACCTTTAACAATCGATTCTTCTCACCCGAAACAAGCGAAATCTTCTGTACAAAAAAGAACATTTACATTCTGCTCGAATAATATATAATAGCTCCTATATTGTCCTACACCCCAACTTCATATCAGCCTCCTACCTACATTCAGCTTAGAAAGTCCAGCGACAGAAGTTCAACTCATCGATCACCTATACCTAAGGAATTTTCTGCTCCTTAACATTTGTACCTTGAACCGTTTTTGTATTTTGTTTCCTTCTTTTTCCTACGGCAGGGTAGCTATTACAAGCAAAATCAATTGACCAAAAATAATTGAAGTTTGGTTTCTAAGCTGCTTTACAAATAGTAGAGATAATCAGAAAAATTGAGAGACTCTATGCCTGCTAACTAGAGGTAAAATTTGGTGTCCTATTGCTTCACATGACAGATATGTTGAGAATCACCAATAGTGTTGAGATTGATTGATCGCCTTCTCCTTCCAGCTTCACTATATCAAAAGAAAGGCAATCAAAGCCTTCAAGCCCTCCCGGGGGTTAACAGCAATTATTATTCTCAGTTTTTTGAGTTCTCTACCGTGAGCTTTCTCTAACAAAGCCTTCAAGCCCTCCCATGTCCACTGGAAAAAGGCAGAAGAAGTTTTGCAATCTGCTTGTATAACTTTTATGTTTTTCACACTAGAGTTCTTCTCATATCTGTAACTCTTTCCTGATGTGTTGGGTATCAATAGTATTGAAATGGCCTTCTCCTTCCAGCTTCTTCACCGTATGTATATATCTGTTAATTGAGTCTGGGACCAAATAAGATCATCAGTTACCAAATGCAGACACAGATACTGCAAAATTTGCAGAGGAACCATATATGTCAGAAGAAGTTTAGAGATAAACTGCGATAGTCGCTTCAGCATAGAGAAGATCAAACACTGTATTCGAGCCATCTTTCACGGATGAAGGGAAACTTATTGATACAACTAAAGAAACATAAAATCTAAAAACAAATGCCAAAGCCTGATGAGCAAGCAAGCAACAGGCTACAGAGATATTACTAAGAGAAAGAGGAAACAACCACCTGCCACCAGAAACACAACAGCAAATTAAATACAGGAAAACAAGAAGACAAGTCCGAAAAAGGACTTCGATAATCATGTACAGGAGATAATTTTCTTGCCGTAGAAATGAAGGCTCTGCTTCTCAAGCCATAAAAGGAGTTTGATATGTCCTCTGTGAGAGAGAAAAGCTCAAGGTGAAGGCAGGACAGTTTGTTTTTGTTTTTTTCATTTTGGTCAATAAACGCAGGACAGTTAAGGCCACCCATTTTTGATTTCTCAAATTTAGTTGACTGTTAAATTTGGTCAAAGCTTAAATGTATTCTGCCTTCCAAAACAGAACGCTCAAACTCCATAACCTAAAAACTACACGCCCTTCAGCCTCACACCCAAATATCAGATTTTCTCTGTTTTCTTTTATTTATTTTTTTGAAGGAGAAAGAAAGAAAACAACAAATCTCCAAACAAAAACAGAAGGAAAATAGCTAGAGGTGCCTCTTCGATTTCCTTCTTCTTCTTCTTCTTCTTTCTCTCTCTCTCTCTCTCTCTCTCAAAGTCACGAGAAACAATCTACAGCTCATTCAAATTTCTCTTCCCATCTATAAAATTCTTCTGATTTTGAAAAACAAACATATCTTTTTTTTTCTTCCTTGCGTTCTTTTTAAGCTACACACCCTTTTCATCCCAAACCCTTTTAAGCTTGAACACACTTCTCTTTTCCTCTGTAATTCGCAACGCTTTCTCTAACACGTTTCTCTTTCTTATTTCTTTCTTTTGAGAACTCGCAGACTGTTGGAATTTCATATTCATTTTCTGATTTTCTTGTGTTCTTTTCAACCTTTGGTCAACCCACCAGCTGAAACTCGGGCTTTCTTTCTGTTCTCCAACCCTCGTTTCTCTGGGTCAAGGGCTTTTCGTTTCCATTGATTGCCCATAATTTTGTTCTTCATTCTTGTTCCATATTGTTGCAGTGCCCATAATTTCAACTGGGTTTGTCTTCCTTTTCATTTTTAGCCATTGATTAATCTCTGCGGTCTACCCTATGCTGCCTCAGCAGAAGAACCCAGCTGGGGTTTCCCAATCTATGCATCAGCAAACAACTTCAAATAACAATCTTGAGGAACCAGATAAAAGACCCTTCTCTATAAGGTGATTGATCTTCGCATATTATAATATATTTGGGAGAGAGAGGTTTTTTCTTGTCTTTTTTATATATCTTCGTCTAGTCTTTCAGATTCTATTTCATAACCTGTATTTGATTTGTATATTTTTTTTTTCGAGTGGAAATGCATGTTTCTGTATTTTGTTTTCAATTTTGTTCCATTAATTTGAAATACAGAATACTGTTTATTTAATAGAACCGTGCAGTTTTGTTCTTTCTGTTTTGGGGGTTTTCAGAAGAACAAGTTTGGAGTAAACTAAATTTCCAGGTTATGAACAAATTTCGGTTCTCCCTAATTTACGAGGTCTTGCTCTTTTATTTATCGGTACTGTGAGTGAGTTTCATGTTTATTTCCATTCGTATATATCTGATTTCGTGTATTCATTTTTCCTTTGTTTCCTTTGTGCAATAGTATCGTGCATGTTCATTTTATGTTGAAGAATGAGTTGCACTACATTAAACTTAAAGTTTTTTGCTCCAAAAATCAACTAGCCTCTCATTTATAACTATTTCTATTTGCAGACAGTATGTTCTTGCTTGTCGTCAGAAAGATGTCTTTTCTAACTGGCCATTTCCAGAAAAATACTTGCAAATGTGTCTCAATTACGGTATTAGTGATGTGTTGCCGCCCCTTGAATCCCATAATTCAGCCATCCAATCACTCAGAGGAGCTGTAGGTTTGAATTGTACTCAACAAGATGATGAGAATGTTGATTACTCCGAAGACAAAGAACCAGATACCATTGAGCAGGAGATTGAAGATGAGTGTAAATTATACTCTGACTCTGAGGAAGCAGTATCGGCACTTTCAATCCAACATTGCCATTTATCTCCTTCAAATAGCAGTCATAAGCATGAAGAAAACAAGACTGGCTTCAGTCCCCAAGATGCTTCCAATATTATGGTTTCAACAGATCAACCTTCAACACCTTCAACTACAATACCAAGTTCACATCTTAATGTTATTCAGTGTAATAAAACATTGCCTTCTTCTACTAAGCCGAGGCGTATGAAAAAACAACACAAGGGTAAGCATAAGAAGCGGTCGATGGCAAGTATTTTATCTGTAGCCAAGCCTTGTACATCAGAGGATCTCCTTAGAATTAAAAGATTGTGCTGTGTTTCGAGTGCACCTCTTGAGCAGGGGGGTGAAGGAATTGAGAATATGATCGATGTTAGGCATGATTGTAATTCTGATCTAACCAAGGATTTCTCGAGTGAAAAGCTTGAAAGAGATGATAGTGAAGAAGCCAAGCTCAGTATGCTGTCTGGACAAAAAATTGTTGTGAAGTTCAAGTTTAGCGGTTGCAATCCGATGTCTGAAGCAAAACTTAATTAAACTTGCAGATTATATATGAGGTACAGTCTCAGCTTCATTATCTTTCTCCTATAATTGATTGTATTTGCCCCATGTTTATAGATTTTAGTTACAATTAATTTGATAGCACCTGTTCATACGCATAGAGATAGAGTTTATGTTTAAAATGATCCTGAAACGACAATTGTCTTTGATTTGACATTTCATTTTAATATCTGTATTCCTAGATTGTTAATAATAAAACTAACACAGATAAGTGTTCTCAGAGCATGTACATTTGCTAGTTTCCCCTATGAACATTAACCAAAATATTCTTCTCAACTTCTTTATCAGGCTGCTGCAAGTTATGCTCTGTGTCAACCTACAGCTTTCTCCTTCATGGCAGGTCGCTATGTAAGAAGTTGAGGATTTTGTCGGATGCAGTATAAATTCTTGAATCTCATGGTATAGTTTATGCAAAAATTCCAGCACTAGGAGCTTCCCAGTTGGTTTGGCATTATTCACTCAATGTGGAATGAAGATAGGGTTGTTGAAGATATGAAGGTCATGAGGGACAGTAGGGATGCATCTGGTTCTTTATTTCAAACCATACCCAAGCTAAGGAAGCGCATATGGTCTCTTATCATGCTCAACATATTGCTACGTGATGTCAACTCATTCATTGTAGAATTTTTGTAGAGCCACTATGGTTTCTATGTGCGTTTGGCTGAAATTGTCTTTGATTTTGAAGCTCTCTCTGCTGAGCACAATGATGGGTACTTGGAAAGAGGTCAGCTTCATGGGCTATCTGGTACAGTCACAATCTTGGGATGCATGGGATTGAGATCCCTGAGTTGTCATTGTCTTTTAACATGTCATTATCTTTGCTTGATGAATACGAGGAGTGAATGCACTTTTGGTGATGCCTCAAAGACCCAAAAACATGCTCGTTTGAAATGTCCTCCTGTGGCTCGACCAAAACTCAATGTAGATGGTTCTTAAAAACCAGATTTGAGGTGCTACTGTTGGGAATGACAAAGGCGAAGTGATGGTGGTTACGATGACCCTTTGGGCAGCATTTCCAGAATGAGATTCTAGCAATTTCATGTGACTTGAAGCTTTGAACTGGATTCGGTGTTCCATTCGATTATAGTAGAGCCCACATCTGAGATTTGAGGATGATGCATATGTAGCTAATGCCAGCATATAGCTACTGTCTCAGTTTCTTTCTTTTCTTTTCTTGTGACTATTCCTAGAGGTTGTAATAGGGTTGCTCAATCTGTCACCTTTCTCCTTGGCTATAAGTTTCTTTACAATCAGATATGATACACATTTCATATTATTAATTGACATTGAGAATCTTTGGAGATTGACCAGACATATATATATATATATATATATATATATATAAGAGCTTCACAGTTAATGACCTTGATTATAGTTTTTGTTAGAATACAACTCATTGGAATATTGATTGCCTAAATATATAACCCCTCAAGCAATAGTGGCTGCTCTTAGTTTTCCAAAAACTTCTCTTAACAGTAAGAGAATATGATAGCAATATTTCCAAAATCATCACCATAAATGTTGGATAAATTTATTTTCTATTTTCTTGGTTGCTTAATTACTAGAATAGGGGAGAAACAATACTTGACTTCAATTTTGGTTTTCCCTTGCATCACACAACATAGATTGTCGAGAATCATCATCATCCAAAAGATTCATATATAAGAAGAGTTCATTTGTAGTAACGACATCTGCTATAAATTCTTAAATCACCCAAATTAGAGGAAAAGTCGAATAATTTTCGAGTAAACGTGCATGTAGATGTACTAGTTCTCACTGCCAACCATATACATATGGAATACGTTCAGGGAGAAGTGCATTTAGATGTCAAACATGACTAGGATACACCAACATATCAAGTAATTCTTCGATCTAAGAATTTCTCCAACTTCACCGCAAATTTTATTCTTATTTTACCGCCGGCGTCGAAGAAACAAGTAGGAAACTTTTCTAGCTATGAAATGCAGTGTTGTATGCTAGCATTTATACCTCAACTTTCATAAGACATGGCTCAAACGTTTAACACTGATAAACTTCCGACCACTAAAATGCTTTACAAATAAGATGTTTGAATGGAAAATGCAAAACCCTAAACACAAACTTGCAGCAGATTCACATGCAAATTCCTTACGTGCAGATGAGTGTTTGACAGACAAACGGGTGAAAATAGACATTTAAATAAAGATTCAGTTAGGGTTTAGGGTTTGACAGACAAGAGATTAAATAATAGATGCAGCACTCTCAACTACATCTATAGTGATGAATTTTCTGATGGTATGGCTATTCTTAGCCTTGCGATAAATATTGGACCTTACTATAAGATCCCGAGCCTCTACATTTAGCATCTGTACATTTAAACGCATTTAGAGCAATCTTAAGCATTTGATTAATCTAATGAAGTTTAATTAGTCCACGTCATCAAAATTATATTATATTAAAAACTCACTATTTGTACCCTATCATTTTCCCCTTTCCCATTTTTAATGAGATCAAATTTATTTTTATTTTAGTGTTAATCAATACCCTGGACTTGCCGACACGCATTGCTCATGGCCGCCCCCAATTCAGACCAAAAAAAAACCTTCAACCCCCTTATAATTTAGGGAGTTTCACTAAAACACCCAAAATGGAGGTTGAAATTATAAAAAACCCAAGCACTATTTAAACATATAAACACACCCAAAACCCATTATTACACACACTCAAAACCCATTTAAACACACCCAAAAAGTTGACTTTGGGGTTGATTTTGGGTGTGTTTCTATGTTTAAATAATGCTTGGGTTTTTTTATAAATACATGTCTAGGATTGGGTTTATTTATAAATTTGTATATAATTTATAGTTTTAGTCTCTGCACAAAAGATGTTCGAATGGTTAAGGTTCAGGGGCTTTGCTTATCAAAGTCCATGACATTAGGAGTCCGGGAAACTACAATAAATAAGATAAGTAACCGGTAAGTGATAAGGTAGAGTTTTAATTTTATGTAATTATAATGACGTGGAATAATTCAATTCGTTAGATTAATCAAATGGTTGAAATTTCTTTAAATACGTATAAATGTACGAATGCTAAATATAGAGACTCATGATCCCTTACTATATACCTCATTTCTTCTTAACAGAAAAGACTCAATCTTTATTAAGCAGATAATATAGTGACACATGTCATGATAATTGAACAAATTTTGGAAAGCCATTTCGCCCACCACTTCTAATTGGTGTTTACCATCACATTAATTGTCGTTGGTTAAGCTTGCGTAATTTAATCTACATGGTACATAAACATAAAAAAAATTATATTCTTATAACAACGACTCATATGGTAATGATTGAACGAAGTTGAGGTTTCATCCCAAAACCAATTGGCAATGGAAGGAGTAGCTCAACTACTTATAAGCCCTTGTTAGGTTACTCAACTTTCTAATGCGGGACTGTTTACCTTCACATTCTCACACGCCTCTGCACATGTGGCGAATTTTCAAGCATAACACATAGACAACACATATTGGGTGACGTGGAGACTGTGAAGGTAAAAAGTCACCAACATATTGTGAGAATGTGAAGGTAAAAAGTCCCACATTGAAAAGTTGACAAACCTAATAAGGGCTTATAAGGAGTTGGGCTACTTCCCCCCATTGCCAATTAGTTTTTGTGGTGGAACCTCAATTTCCTTCATGGTATCAGGTCAAGTTGATTGACGGGGCCTGTATTAGGCCTCTACCCTTACCCAATATGTGGTCTTCACATGTTGGGCTTGAATGTTACCCCTACCTTTTACCCAATACGTGGTGCTCATGTGTTAGGCTTAAATGATTGACTCTGATGTGGACTTGGCTCCACGTGTGGCCCACTATGTGATGGTCCCAAATCTCACCCAAGAAATAGGCCAAGTGATGTGTTGCCCGAGCGTGGCACTACCATACTATAAAAGTTTGGTGGAATGAGAAATATGTATCAGTTGTTTGCACCAATAAATCTAACTTCAAACCAAACGATTATAAACCTAATAGGGATTGGCTTGGCATGACTTCTTTTTCTATGTCTTCAACAATCAAGAATTTCACACTTTATTTAGCGGAGTAAAAACAAGACTTGAGTTAACTGAAAAAACTAAGTAGAAAGCAAATGAACAAGATGAAAAACTTGATTCGGGCCGGCCGAGGACTTGTCAATTGAGATCAAACAACGTTTGTTCATACCAATATAGTGATGGATAATGGATTCTTTGAAATATTGTGGATATCTATTTGAAATTGGTTTTGAGATCAACCACGATCAGCTTTGACATCAGTTATGATAAGTTGTGTACCGATGATGACCTAGACATCATGTGATAAGTTTAGTGAAAAAAGATGACTTAGACATCATATTCATTGGAGTCTTGACCTATGCAATTATTGGCCCCATCCCATCTTTGAGATGCTATCTTAGCCTCACAGCTAAATTCTTTTCAAATATTCATTACCCTTTGTGTGCATAAAAAGAATTTCGTAAAATCTTTTGGAAAAAAAGAATATAGAGTGCAAATTTTTGCACAAAATAAATAAAGGATGGAGTAAAAAGCGGATATGGGTTAATCAGGTTGGTTAGACCAGATATGCTCCTACTCTACAACCGAGTTTCAATTTCCCTTCCGTAATTTAGATTAATTTAAAATAGAATATCGTTTGTGAAAAAGGGAGGAGTAAAAATGCTCTCTAGAGGAAGAATGCACAGGAGCAAAGTCTGTGCACGTGTCAACAAGAAATGAGGAAGCGTCTCCGTCATCTGCTTCCTTTGCCTTCTTGTATTCTGTGGCGCCAAAATTCAAACACTATTCGTGCTCGCAAAATGTACTCACTGTCACAGGAGCTCCTTCCGAGACTACCATGAAAATGAAGAAGAAGAAGCTTCGAATTGTCTCCGACAACGTGCTCACAGAGCCATAGATCCACGCTCTTCCTCCGAATCAAGCAAGGCGGCTGCATCTGCTTCTCCAACCTCATCTCCCACCGTTCACGTGTCCTACGCCCTCTCTCAGCTCTCTCAGGCCAACTCCTCCGACCCCCCCCTTCCTCCGCTCTCTCCTCGCCTTCCATCCTCACTTCCTAATTTCGCTTATCGTTCATGCTCTCTCTTCCTTCGACGACGACCCCATCGCACGACAAGTCGTCCATCTCATTTCCGCTCTCTGCGATTCAGCCGCTGCCTCGCTCTCTGCTGACTTCGTCGCTAGGGTTTCCGACTGCCTCTCTTCTGGTGCCTTGGCCTGGAGTCGCTGTCATCTTTATACAGTATTTCCACCATTCTCTTTTTGTTGTCTAAATTCTTGGAATTGCTGTTGAGACTTAGATAAAATTTTCCGGTTGTGATTTGTTTTCTGTTTGCTTGCTGAGAAAATGATTTGTGTTTCTCGGTAGCCAAACTGTGTATGACTGGGGACGGTAGGACGAATGTTGAGAAATCGAGCTTGATTCTTCTACTGTTTCTCATATTAAAACTCTGCTTGTTTGCAAATTTAAATATCAATTTTGAGATTTAGATACATACTTCGGGTAATGTTTATTTTCTGTTTGTTTCCTGAGATTATGAAGGAAAATTATGATTCTGTACTTTTTCAGTAATCAAACAGCGTAGGATTGGTTAGGGGTTAGAAATTCGGTGGATGAATCTAATCGTTTCTTTGAAATTAGATTGCTCTACTCTACCAGTGAAAATGAAATTTCAGTGGGCAAGCTAGGCCTTGAAGGTGAGAAATCTGAGTCAACAGTCACTACATGGGGGTGAACAGATTTCTTACGTTTTTTTTATTTTTATTTTATGAACATCAGATTTCTGACTTTAAGCCATGACTTTCATATCCAAGTTTAATGGCTATGGTTTAGAGTCTACAATGAAGTCTCAAGAATGATAAGCATCTGTGCACCCACTGGCTTCTACTAACGAAACATTTTTCAACAAGATCTTTAAGACTTACATGTTATTGATATCAAAACATATATATCCCTGCTAACAATTCTACTATTCTTTAAGTGCAGCTTCACTGCTTAGGGGTTTTGTTAAACTGCCAGCAGAATAATCCTTACGCTCACATTAGAGACAAATATGGCCTCATTACCAATCTTGTTGAAGGTCTTCAATTGCCAAGGTAACAAATAAAAAAAACTGATGTTCCTTTTTCCATGCATTTACCACACTATGACCAAAATCCTCTATTTTATTCATTTAACACAGTGAAGAGATTCGGGAAGAAATCCTGTTTGTTCTGTATAAGGTATCTGTTCTCAGTATGCATCAGAAGTTGGTGTTGGAACTGATTTTTTATTTGCCTTTTGCCCCAAGCTATTGCGCTTGTCTCTAGGGGCCCTCATGAAGACCCAAAGCGATGATTTTCGCTTGAATTGTGTAGGTCAGTATTCCACTTCTTGAAATCTTTATTGTTGTGCCTTGTAAGTTGGATCCATTTTCCCTTATAGTACAGCTCAGCAATATATGACTAGCATTTTGGTCAGCTTGTCATACCCCATGAGTTTCTATTTATTTAATTTTTCAAAGTAGGTTTTATTTTTGGGCACATGGGCATATATATACATCAAGCCCGCAAACGAACTCCTTAACTACACCACACTTGTTTCTTATTGATGTCAGACCATATTTTAACTTTGAAGGCGAAGCTCCTTGCAATTTCTCTCATCAATACCTGGATCAGTTTTGAATGATTGTAGAACAATGCCATTAATGAGTTCCATCAATTTGTTCTATCATGACAACAAGATACTTTGCATCTTGAGTTTATTTAGAATCAAACAATAAAAACGTCGCAGCTCCAAGTACTTGAGTCCTTGCCTATAGAACTTACTGCCTGTAGAGGAAACAATTATAATTTAAAACCTCTCAGGTAATATATAACTCTTTGGGGAAGTGATCCTGACACAGCGTGGAATCCTCCCCATTTTACAAACACATTTCCTCATTGGTATCAGTCCTCTCTTCTCTCAACTGACAATTTTGATATTACTTGTCCAGCGTTCTTGACAATGTTGGCTCAGAGAGGACTTTTCGGGGCTGCATATGAAGTTGATTTAAACAGCAATGGTTCATCCAAAGGTGGTTCAGCTTGTCGTTTGGATGCCTAGGCTTCTTTCCCACAGAAAAGATGAAATGGAGTGTGTATCAGATGCTCGGTTCACTAGTAGGTGTTCTTATGGGAAATGATTCTGGGCAACCTATTAGATGCTACTCCATGTCTCCCATCTGATCCCATTGATTTTCTCATTCTACTTGAGGAAAAGAACTCCCGTAATTTAGAATTATCTTCTTGCCAATCTGCCATTTCGCAGATTTCATATACAAGTTCTTTATATGATGAACGGTAATTGAGCTTTTGTTTTCAAGTTTCATTCGTTTGGTTATGTTTTTTTTGCAGTAAATTTAACAATTACAACCTACTTTTCTTCACATCTTTACTACTTTTCTCCCCAGACTTGCAGATGATAATTTGGTTTTAGCTTCTCTAGAGCAATACATTCTGGTAAAACAGTACTCTCCAAGGTGTTTCCACTGATCCATTTACAGTGATGAGGCTGGTTTATCTTTATGGTCTTTATAGGGGTCTCGCCAAGGTTAGCTACCAAAATCCCCTACAGTCCAGAAGCTGAGAGAATCCTGTTCAAGATATTAAATAAAACATGAAATTGCCTTATTTATATTATAATACAAAATAGGATGAGTTACTGTTGGTTGAGATCCTTGAATAGTTTGTCATGTTTCCTTGAAATTAGATTTCTCTACTCTACAAGTCAAAATGAAATTTGAGTGGGCAAGCTAGGCCTTGAGAGTGAGAAATCTGAGTCAACAGTCACTACATGGGGGGTGATCAGATTTCTTACTCTTTTTTTTTTATGAACATCAGATTTCTGACTTTAAGCCATGACTTTCATATCCAAGTTTAATGGCTATGGTTTAGAGTCTACAATGAAATCTCAACAATGATAAGCCTCTGTGTACCCACTGGCTTCTACTAACGAAATTTTTTCAACAATATCTTTAAGACTTACATCTAATTGATCTCAAAATATATATATCCCTGCTAACAATTCTGCCATTCTTTAAATTTTGCTTCACTGCTTGGGGGGTTGTGTTAAACTGCCAGCAGAGTAATCCTTACGCTCACATTAGAGACAAGTATGGCCTCATTACCAATCTTGTTGAAGGTCTTGAATTTCCAAGGTAACAAATAAAGAAAATTGAGAATAAACAATGTTCCTTCCATGCATTTAGTACATTATAACTCAAATTCTCTATTTTATATATTCCTTTAACACAGTAAAGATATTCGGGGAGAAATCCTGTTTGTTCTATACAAGGTATCTTTTCTCCAATACGCATCAGAGGTTGGTAATGGAACTGATTTTTTATTTGCCTTTTGCCCCAAGCTATTGGACTTGTCTCTAGAGGCCCTCATGAAGACCCAAAGCGATGATGTCCGCTTGAATTGTGTAGGCCAGTTTTCCATTCTTTAATACTTTCATTTTTGTGCCTTATAAGTGTGGTCCATTTTCCTTTATTTAAAGCACAGCTCAGCAAGATATGACTAGCATTTTGGTCTGCTTGTTATACCCCATGTGTTTCTATTTATTTAATTTTTCAGAGTATTTTCTTTTTGGCCACATAGGCATATATAGATATCAAGCCTGCAAACGAACTCCCTAATTACACCACAATTGTTTCTTGTTGATGTCGGACCATATTTTAACTGTGAAGTTGAGGTCCTTGCAATTTCTTTCATATCATGACAAGAAACTTTGCATCTTGAGTTTGTTTAGAATCAGACGAAAAAAATGTTGCAGCTCCAAGTGCTTGAGTCCTTGACTAGGGAACTTACTGCCTGTAGCGGAAACAATTATAATTTTAAACCTTTCAGGTAATATATAACTCTTTGGGGAAGTGATCCTGACATAGCATGGAATGCTCCCCATTTTACATGCACATTTCCTCATTGGTATCAGTCCTGTCTTCTCTCAACTAACAATTTCCATATTACTTGTCCAGCATTCTTGACAGTGTTGGCTAGAGAGGACTTTTAGGGGCTGCATATATGGTTGATTTAAACACCATGAGTTCATCCGAAGGAGATAGCTTTAAGCAAGCATCAGAAGATGTTAAAGATGGGAATCCAATGAATATATTGTTTAGGAGGCCATCAAAGGCCCACTGCTTTCAAGGGACAGCCAAGTCCAGGTCAGCACACTGGATCTACTGTTTCATTACATGTCCTCCTGGGAAGGCACTTCAGGTAAAGAAACCCAATTCCTAGTGGAAGATACTAAGATTGTCAGGTAGTAAAGTTTCAGTGCCAAATAGAACAATAACAGCTGTCCTCTGCTTGATATTTTTTATGCTGATAGAGTTGCATTTGAGTATTGCCAAACATCAGGAAACCAGAAACTGTGCTGTTTAAGTAAGGAGTCAACAATCATCATTATTTAGAAGTATTTATTGAATTTCTATAAATTTTGCGGTGTTCCTAGTGTGGATAGCTTAAGCTTCTTCTTTTTTCGGTCATTAGATGTGTTCTTGCAAAGCTTATCTATGACTGTATTATTTAGTCAAACCCTCAGAAAGTCCAACTTCATGAACCCAAGCCTTAGTTCGTAGATGTTTTTTTTTTGACAAACTAGTTTCAGTAATAAGCTTTGTTGAACTTCTTTTTTCTTAAAATAAACAAATAAAAACAGCTAATAAGCTTTGTTGATGAACAGAATGCAAGGATCCAGTGGTCAAATCTTGGGTTCAGGTACTTGACTTATTATCAAAAGCTGAGCAAGCTTTCAAACGGAGGCTTGTTGTTGGGTTCGCAACTTTGGTTCCAGTACTAAATTATGTAGCTGACATTCCTTTCCATCCAGTTCAAAATCAGACATTAAAACTCATTCTGAACTGCATATCTGATTTCCCTGGAATGGTATCCTCCTCTCATATAACAGAGCTAGTACCTGTTCTAGCAAAGATACTTAAAAAGCATTCTGATGAGGAGATAGGCATGCTTGAGGAGACATTTATATTGACCTGCTCAGTTCCTTGTAGCTATCGTCAGAACTTCATCTGTTCATGGGAATTTGAATCTACAAATTTCAATTAAAGAAGCAATGCAACATGCTGTATTAGCTGTCTAAGTATCTCGGAGAAGAATCCTTGTCAACTTTTGCATTCCTTGTTCCTACTTAAGGAGGCGTATAATCATGAAGGAAATTCTACTGACTCCACTGAAGTGGAACTACGACAATTTATTGTGAATGTCTGTACAAAACATTTGTTACCTTGGTTTGGAACCAACTTCAGTGAAATGGATGAGGAAACTGTCCTTGGAATATTGGAAACATTTCATTTGATACTGCTTCAGGATTCCAACAATCAAGCAGCAGAACTTGCAGAGAACCTAGTTTCGAGCAATTGGTTCAGTTTGTCGTTTGGATGCCTAGGCTTATTTCCCATAGAAAAGATGAAATGGAGGTGTATCTGATGCTCAGTTCACTGGTAGATGTTCTTATGGGAAATGATTCTGGGCAACCTATTAGAGATGCTACTTTATGTCTCCCATCTGATCCCATTGATTTGATCTTTCTACTTGGGCAAAAGAACTCCCGTAATCTGGAATTATCTTCGTGCCAATCTGCCATTTTGCTGATTTTATACACCAGTTCTTTATATGATGAAAGGTAATTGAGATTTTGATTTCTAGTTTCATTCGTTTTGCTATGTTTTTAGCAGTACATTTAACAATTACGACCTACTTTTCTTCACATCTTTAATACTTTGCTCCCCAGACTTGCAGATGATAAGTTGGTTTTAGCTTCTCTAGAGCAATATATTCTGATCAACAGTAGTGATCTCCAAGGTGGATCCACTGATCCATCTACATTGATGAGGCTGGTTTATCTTTATGGTCTAGGGTTTAGGGAAAGAACAGTCATATGGTAAATGTTAATTCAATTGCAGAATTAATAGCAGGAGGAGATAATAGTGGATCAACACTTTTGGTGTTCTTATTGACACAACTTCTGCCTATCAATGATCTTGGGTTGGGGATTGCCGGGAATACTAGGAACAAGTGTGACTACAAAGAATAATTGGAGTAGGATGATTGTGGAAGAGCTGGCGATGTCTTTAGCAGTCCCATGCCTAGCATCAAAAAATTTCATTAATCTTCTCAAGCCTGCAATTCATGTAGCAGTTACATTGTTAAAGCTGCCGAAGGTTCTTGAGTGGATGAGATCGGTGTTTGATGATTCTTGCATATCTGGCATCATTCAAAACCTTGCAGAAAATAATTTGAGCACAGAGATTGTACTTTTATTTCAAGCTCTATTGAAGTCTGAGTACTTAAAGGCGGAACAAATTTCTATGCCATGCACTTTTCTATTCTGTTGATTTTGTTCGTGTCCTTTAAGGAACTAAAATGAGGTTTCCTTTTTTAATACTTCAAACATGAAAATGGGTCATTATACTTCTGTCCAGTTTGTTTTACAATGAAACACTGGCTGATGGACTTTCCTTAAATTCTAGCCTTGGTCATTTCAGGCAGCATATTAAAAAGAGAGATAATGCAGTTATTTTACACATTGCAGGCCTGCAGAAAACAGAAGTACACTGACAACAGTCAAGATGAAAGTGCAAAAGAGCATAAAAAATAAAAAGGCGGTCGCCATCCTGGACGACATGGGAGAAGTTTGTGAGTATCTCATTCTCTTGATGTTATCCGAGTCTTGTCTAGACAGGGATTCTGGAGGATTAAATTTTGGGGACGAGATTGTTAAAAGTAACAGAGGGCAGCTAAGAAAATCATTTAATTTTCTTTATTAAATCTCCATTTCTCGTTTCATTAACAGTAACAGAGGTGCACTGAGTGAGACACCTCCCATTTTGATCATTATAGAATCAAAATACCCTTATTGTTAAATGTAAATGCACTTAATATTTTGCCTTGATTTAATTTTTCAAGTCAAAATTGATTTTAACTATTTCGTTTCATAAAAATATGAGCTGATCACAACACTTCATTAATTTTTAACAGGCTAATAAGGAATGAATGAATGAATGGTAATTACTTTTCATAAAAATTCCTGAAATATTACAAAATCAGTGATCACTATACACAATTTCACCTAACAGTAACCGACCAAAATCGATCATTTTGGCCCCAGAAATTAACATATGAAAGTCTCTCATGGTTTTGAAGTTATCTTCAATAACCACATGTTTCTCCATCTCTTCGAGGGCAAGGCGAGCAGCTTCTCTATCCCTCTGCCGCTGCTTTTTGATGAACTCATTGGCTCTCATAATTTCTGCTTCTGCAGCTCCAAGCCTCGCATTCTTGGCTTCGGTGGTAATTGTTGTAGTGTAAAGAGCATGGTGATGTTCTGCTTTAAGGATTGTGTTGGCAAATCGAGCCTTCAACATTGCAACCCTAGCCGCCCTTCTCGGAGACAGATCATTATTGATCTCGTGATCAGATTTAGAGGCGGCTTTGACAGGAGATGCACGACAGAGGTGAGGGCGTAGAACTGTGACTGGTGTTTCACAGCCACTCATGAAACTACTGCAACCTTGGGATGAAGAAACCTCACAAGAAGAAGTTGATGGCGTACAGAGAAGGCCATGATCACCACCTTCAACTCCCTTGTTCAAACCCAAACCACCTTGAAATTTCTTTTTCAAACCCAGCCCGTTATCAACTTTGTTTTTCTTGGAACCCAAGCCACCGTCCACTTTCTTCATCAAACCACCTTCTAGTTTCTTCTTCAAGCCCAATTTACCACCATAACCACCACGACCATTTTTCTTCAAATCACCATCTACGTCAATATCGTCAATCTTAGCTATGGTCCTCTGCCTTTTTTCCCGCTTGCTTTCTTGACCCAAAAACCAAGTTTCAATTTCGGAATCGAAGTCGGACGAGGAGGAGCAGCGGGCACGCTTCTCAGTCGGACGAGGAGGAACAGAGAAACGCATATTGTTGAATTTGAATGAGATAGAAGAATGTGAGCAAGTGAGGAATTAAGGGAGATAGAAGAAACTGAGAAATATGGAAACCCTAACCAGCGAAGTGAAACGAGTCAATGAGAAATAAAAAACTCAAATGAACCCTTACGACAGTGAATCCTTAGTTGATTAGGAAACCCAAATAAACTATAATTGTTTGCGTTGCTATAAACCCAAGCAACTGGAAAAGTTGCTTTTAAACCTTCACTACCGCCTCTCTCTTTCTTCTCTCATTTTTCAATATTTTTCGGTTATTGTTTTTTTGTTCTTCCTATTTTGAGTCAAAGTCAAATCTTTTTGACAAAGTTGAAAGTTATTAATTTCATTCATTGCTTCGTTTTCGATTTTTTTTTTTTTTTTTTTTTTTTTTTTTTTTTTTTTTGTTTGGTTTTATATTTATATTTTATTTATGTTACCTACCAATTCAAAATAAAAAATATTTTTTTAATTTGCTTAAACGGCAAAATAGTCCTGGTGTTTTTTCCTAATATGCTAATATAGTCCTTGTGTTATCAATTTAGCTAATTTGGTCTATGTTTTTATATATGTTAACAAATATGGTCATTTCCTAAAAAATTCTATTTATACTGAAGAAAAAAAAATATAAATATTCAAATTCAAATAATAATAAAAAATTAAATTATAAAAACCCATGTTCTTGCGTCCTGTATCAAAAACAAAAAAAAATTAATGAAGCATACATATTAGTCAATTTAGTTTTGTGAACAGTGGCTAGCTAAGTGTGGCTAGATAAGAGAGAGAAAATGAGGCTAGTCAAATCGTTCCAATGTACAACTTTTGAAGCAAAAGTGGGTTTTAATTTAGAAAAAAAAATTAGTTGAATATTCAAGTTTTTATAAACTCCAAACTTTGGTTTTGAGATCAACCACGATCAGTTTTGATCTCAGTTGTAATAACCTGTGTACCGAGAGATGATGACTTGGACATCGTATTCATTGGAGTCTTGACCTATGCAATTATTGGCCCCACACATCTTTTAGATGCTATCTTAGCCTCACTGCTAAATTTTTTTAAATATTCATTTTTCTTTGTGTGCATAACAAGAATTTCGTAAAATTTAAATTTAAAAAAATGATTAAAAGTGTAAATTTTAGCGCCAATAAAGGAAGGAGTAAAAAATAAACACAGGTTAATCAATTGGTTAGAGCAGATGTACTCCCGACTCCACAACTGAGTTTGAATTCCCTTTCTATAATTTAGATTAATTTATAGTGTCGCTAAACGAACCCTAAAATTAACTGAGTACACCATACTACCAAACTATTTATTGAATTACTAATTTACCCTAATATAAAATGACCAAAAAGAATATATTGAATTGTGAAACAAATATAAGTTAAAAAGTACACCATACTCACCATATTCAGCCCTAATCAAACTTATAGAAGTTTTCGTATTGCTTGATTCCAATAAAAGGATTTGTCAGTCTATTTTAGTATAAGGATCTTGTTTCAAGTACCACCCAATGAGCTATATAGATTTTCTCATTGAATTCTGTCATTCGAGATAACTAATGATGAATGAGATGGTGTTCCGAAAGAATCCTTTGAGTTTGACCCTACTTCTTTGTCCACCAATCTTAATGAAAATCATTGATTTGAAAAAGGATAACAGAGCCATGAATATTGAACCTAATGATTTGTCCCGTGAGTTAAAGTGAAGGCAAACCTGTAATGGGTTATGGGAGAGTATGCACAGCTGAAAAATAGGGGAATTATGAAAGAGAAACTTCAATGCATAGATCTCCAAGAAAGGCAAATAGCAACATAGATAAAAATAAACAAATAAAATCTTATTTTATTGTCTTATTGGAAATTGAAATTATGCACACTTTGATTTCCTTATAACTCAGTTTGTTTCTTGTGTGCATGTGCACTAAAACACCACTGAAGAGAAGTAAGGTGATGAAGCTTTGAATTGAAGGAGTTAGCAAATCTACTCCTATAGTAGTTTACGAAATTAAAGATTTTGATGCAAACCCAAAATCTGAAAATAGGGAACAAATTCATGTAAAAAGAGAAACCTAATTTAGGATTGGAATTAGGGTGTTGTGTGATAGATTGTATTAGTGTATCAGGGGTATTTTTGGTAGTTAAATAGGGTGTATTTAGTTAATTTTACATTTTAATTAAAATATTAAGGTGTACTTAGATCATAGGGTGTACTCAGTTAATTTTAAGGTTCGTTTAGCAACACTCTTAATTTAAAATAGAATATCATTTGTATTAAATAAATAAAAAAGAGAAAGCAGTGAAAATGCTCTCTAATTTTTGTGAACCGTTTAGTGAATGCACAGGAGCAAAGTCTGTGCACGTGTCAACAAGAGGCAGCTACAGGAAGCGGCTCCGTCATCTGCTTCCTTTCCTGTCCTGTATTCTCTGGCGCCAAAATTCAAACACTATTCGTGCTCGCAAAATGTACTCACTGTCACAGGAGCTCCTCCGAGACTACCATGAAAATGAAGAAGAAGAAGAAGAAGAAGCTTCGAATTCCGTAGTGTCTCCAACAACGTGCTCAGAGGGCCACAGATCCACTCTCTTACTTCGAACCAAGCAAGGCGGCTCCATCTGCTTGCTCTGCTTCTCCAACCTCATCTCCAACCGTCCACGTGTCCTACGCCCTCTCTCAGCTCTCTCAGGCCATCTCCTCCGACCCCCCCTTCCTCCGCTATATCCTCGCCTTCCACCCTCACTTCCTCGTCTCGCCTCTCGTTCATGCTCTCTCTTCCTTCGACGACGACCCCATCGCACGACATCTCATTTCCGCTCTCTGCGAATCAGCCGCTGCCTCGCTCTCTGCTGACTTCGTCGCTAGGGTTTCCGACCGCCTCTTTTCTGGTGCCTTGGCCTGGAGTCGCCGTCAGCTTTATACGGTATTTCTGTTTGTCTGTGAATTCTGGAATTGCTGTTGAGACTTAGATAAACTTTTCCGGTTGTGATTTGTTTTCTGTTTGCTTCCTGAGAAAATGATTTGTGTTTCTGGGTAGCCAAACAGTGTATGACTTGTTACAGTTGGACGAATTTGGTGAAATCGAGCTTGATTCTTCTACTGTTTCTCATATTAAAATTCTGTTTGTTTGCGAATTTACATATCAATTTTAAGATTTTGGATACATACTTTGGGTTAATGTTTATTTTTTTTTTTTTTTTTTTTTTTTTTTTTTTTTATTCTGATAGTTTGGTTAGTTTTGGTTTCTCATGGTACAACAATACTATAGTTGAAGGATTGGTTTCTAATGCAAAATAGGATGAGTTACTGTTGGTTGAGATCCTTGAATAGTTTGTCATGTTTCTTTGAAATTAGATTTCTCTACTCTACAAGTCAAAATGAAATTTGAGTGGGCAAGCTAGGCCTTGAGAGTGAGAAATCTGAGTCTACAGCAACTACATGGGGGTGATCAGATTTCTTACTCTTTTTTTTTTAATGAACATCAGATTTCTTACTTTAAGCCATGACTTTCATATCCAAGTTTAATGGCTATGGTTTAGAGTCTACAATGAAATCTCAACAATAATAAGCCTCTGTGCACCCACTGGCTTCTACTAACGAAACTTTTTTCAACAATATCTTTAAGACTTACATCTAATTGATCTCAAAAGATATATATCCCTGCTAACAATTCTGCCATTCTCTAAATTTAGCTTCACTGCTTGGGGTTTTTGTTAAACTGCCAGCAGAATAATCCTTGCACTCACATTAAGTATGGCCTCATTACCAATCTTGTTGAAGGTCTTGAATTGCCAATATAACAAATAAAGAAAACTGAGAATAAACCATGTTCCTTCCATGCATTTAGTACATTATAACTCAATTCTCTATTTTATATATTCCTTTAACACAGTAAAGATATTCGGGGAGAAATCTTGTTCTATACAAGGTATCTATTCTCCAATACGCATCAGAGGTTGGTGATGGAACTGATTTTTTATTTGCCTTTTGCCCCAAGCTATTGGACTTGTCTCTAGAGGCCCTCATGAAGACCCAAAGCGATGATGTCCGCTTGAATTGTGTAGGTCAGTTTTCCATTCTTTAATACTTTATTTTTTGTGCCTTGTAAGTGTGGTCCATTTTCCTTTATTTAAAGCACAGCTCAGCAAAATGCTCCGCTTGTTATACCCCATGTGTTTCTATTTATTTAATTTTTCAGAGTAGGTTTTCTTTTTGGGAACATAGGCATATATAGATATCAAGCCTGCAAACGAACTCCCTAATTACACCACAATTGTTTCTTGTTGATGTTGGACCATATTTTAAGTGTGAAGTTTAAGGTCCTTGCAATTTCTTTCATATCATGACAAGATACTTTGTATCTTGAGTTTGTTTAGAATCAGACGATAAAAACGTTGCAGCTCCAAGTGCTTGAGTCATTGACTAGGGAATTTACCGCCTGTAGCGGAAACAATTATAATTTTAAACCTTTCAGGTAATATATAACTCCTTGGGGAAGTGATCCTGACAGAGCATGGAATGCTCCCCATTTTACATGCACATTTCCTCCTTGGTATCAGTCCTGTCTTCTTTCAACTAACAATTTCCATATTACTTGTCCAGCGTTCTTGACAGAGTTGGCTCAGACTCAGAGAGGACTTTTCGGGGCAGCCTATGCAGTTTATTTAAACAGCATGAGTTCATCCGAAGGAGATAGCTTTGAGCAAGCCAACTTAAGATGGAAAAAATGTGAATCCAATGAATATATTGTTTACCGAGGCCATCAAAGGCCCACTGCTTTCAACAGACAGCCAAGTCCAGATCAGCACACTGGATTTACTGTTTAATTACATGTCCTCCTGGGAAGGCACTTCAGGCAAAGAAACGCAAGTCCTAGTGGAAGAAAACATTGCAGATTATGTATTTGAAACACAGATTGTCAGGTTAGTAAAGTTTCAGTGCCAAATAGAACAATAATAGATGTCCTCTGCCTGATATTTTTAGTGCTGATAGAGTTTCATTTGAGTATTGCCAAACATCAAGAAACCAGACACTGTGCTGTTTAAGTTATGAGTCAACAATTATCATTATTCAGAAGTATTTATTGAATTTCTACAAATTTTTCAGTGTTCCTAGTGTAGATAGGTTAAGCTTTTAATTTTTTATTTTTATGGTCATTAGATGTGTTCTTGCAAAGCTTATTTATGACCGTATTATTAAGAAAAACCCTCAGAAACTAAAGGATCCAATGGTCAAATCTTGTGTTCAGGTACTTGACATATTATTAAAAGCTGAGCAAGCTTTAAAACGGAGGCTTGTTGTTGGGTTTACAACTTTGGTTCCAGTACAAAATTATGTAGCTGACATTCCTTTCCATCCAGTTCAAAATCAGACATTAAAACTCATTCTGAACTGCATATCTGATTTCCCTGGAATGATATCGTCCTCTCATATAACAGCACTAGTACCTGTTCTAGCAAAGATGCTTAAAAAGCATTTATAATATATATATTTATATTGACCTGCTCAGTCCTTGTCGCTATCATCAGAACTCCATCTGTTTTGAATCTACAAATTTCAATTAAAGAAGCAATGCAACATGCTGTATTAGCTTGTCTAAGTATCTCAAAGAGGAATCCTTGTCAAATTTTGCACTCCTTGTTCCTACTTAAGGATGCTTCCTTTTTCAGTTCTTCAAACATGAAAATGAGTCATTATACTTCTGTCCAGTTTGTTTTAGAATGAAAACTGGCTGATGGATTTTCCTAAAATTTTCGCCTTGGTCATTTCAGGCAGCATATTAAAAAGAGAGATAATGCTGTTATTTTACACATTGCTGGCCTGCAGAAAACAGAAGTACACTGACAACAGTCAAGATGAAAGTGCAAAAGAGCATTAAAAAAGGCAGTCGCCATCCTGGACGACATGGGAGAAGTTTGTGAGTATCTCATTCACTTGATGTTATCCGACTCTTGTCTAGACTTATGGAGGATTAAATTCTGGGGATAAGAGATTGTTAGTAGAAATAGAGCTTTTCTTCAAAAATTTAACAGTAACAGAGGGCTGCTAAGAAAATCCTATGAGTTTAATTTTCTTTATTGAATCTCCATTTCTCATTTCATTAACGGCGGTGCACAGAGTGAGACACCAGTAGTTATGTACAGTACAGGTGCTACCCATTTTGATCATTAACTGCATTAAGAGCTTAGAACTGAAGAGACATTACAGAATCAAAGTACCCTTTTGTTAAATGTAAATGCACTTAATATTTTGAGTTGATTTAATTTCTCTGGAAGAAACTTGGATTTTTGTTGTACTCTTGTCTAACCCAAATTGACTTTAACTGTTTTGTTTCAAGTTACTTTCATTGTCAAAAACTTAGGCGCAGAACATGATATATAATGATGATATAGCTGATCCAACACTTCATTAATTACCAGGCTTATAAGGAATGAATGAATGAACGAATTATACTTTTCATAAAAATTCCTGAAATATTCAGTACAAAATCAATGATCACTATACACAATTTCACCTAACAGTAACCGACCAAAATCGATCGTTTTGGTCCCAGAAATTAACATGTGGAAGTCTCTCATGGTTTTGAAGTTATCTTCAATAACCACATGTTTCTCCATCTCTTCGAGGGCAAGGCGAGCAGCTTCTCTATCCCTCTGCCGCTGCTTTTTGATGAACTCGTTGGCTCTCATAATTTCTGCTTCTGCAGCTCCAAGCCTCTCGTTCTTGGCTTCGGTGGTAATTGTTGTAGTGTAGAGAGCACTGTGATGTTCTGCCTTAAGGATTGTGTTGGCAAACCGAGTCTTCAACATTGCAACCCTAGCAGCCCTTCTCGGAGACAGATCGTTATTGATCTCATGATTCGATGCAGAGGTGGCTTTGACAGGAGAGGCACGACAGAGATGAGGGCGTAGAACTGTGACTGGCGTTTCACAGCAACTTTGGGATTGGGATGAAGAAACCTCACGAGAAGTTGATGGGGTACAGAGAAGGCCATGATCACCACCTTCAACTTCCTTGTTCAAACCCGAAGCACCTTCAAATTTCCTCTTCACACCCAACCGATAATCAACTTTATTTTTCTTGGAAGCCAAGCCACCGTCCACTTTCTTCTTCAAACCACTTTCAAGTTTCTTCTTCAAGCCCGGTTTACCACCATAACCGCTAAGACCATGTACGTCAATATCGGCCATCTTAGTTGAGATCGTCTCCCTCTTTACCCTCTTGCTTTCTTGACCCACAAACCACGTTTCAATGTCGGAATCGAAGTCGGAAAGCAGTGGAATTGGGTTTTTCAGAGGGCCGCTGACAACTTCCCTTGAAGAAGAGAAAGTTGAGGAAGACGATAACGGATTAGTCGTCAATTTGCTGTGCTTTTGCTGAGTAGTCTTACCATGACCAATCATTACATTCACAGAGGTCTTCGTTTTCAATGGTTTGCACGGTTGATTTGAGAGAATGCTCTCAACCCAGGCTTTGGTGGTACGAGAGAAACGCATGTTGAATTTGAATGAGATAGAAGAAAGTGAGCAAGTAAGGAATTAAGGGAGATAGACAGAGAAATATAGAACCCTAACCCTAAACGCCTATAGAGAGTGAATTGATGGAGAGAGTGAATGCAAGCCAAGTGAAGTGAGTTGATGAGAAATAAAAACTCAAATGAATCTTTAAGACATAGGGAGAGAGTGAATCCTTACTTGATTAGGAAACCCAAATGTATAATAAATTTTTGCGTATAATCTTAACCCAAAAGCAACTGAAAAAACTAAAACCCCAGCTGTCCTAAACTCATTACCACCGCCTCTCTCCTCTTCTTTTAAATTTAAATTTATTTATTTTTTTATCAAAACGATTAGGTGTATTGCATTTATCATAAAAGGGAGTTTACATCAGTTGACAGTTGCTAAGGTTGGATGAAGCCAAATCGGTGACCACCGCCTCTCTCTTCTCCTCTTCTAAGTCTTTTTCAGATCATTTTTCTTTTCTTTCTTCTTTTGGGTCAAAGTCAAATATGTTTGACAAAGTTTTTTGAATCAAAAAATTTCATTTGTTTCCCTTATCTAAATTTTTTTTTGAAAGATAATTTTACATATATATATATATATAAACATTCAAAATATCATAGAATGCCCTTAGTTAATATAAAATTAAGAATTAAAATTATTAATGAAATGAGGATAATATGGTAAATTTATAATTTTTTTCATATTAAAAACAAAATAAAGTAATGAATCCTATTTTTACGAAACACAAGTACCCATTTCATCTTTTTTATTTCTAAAATAAAAAAATAAAATAAAAACAATAAGAAAGAGTGTGTGTGCCAAGAGTCTAGTAAAAATTGTGGACGAACATTTTTGAAAGATATTCATTTAGTTGGTTGGGCACACACAATAACATACATAAATATGTTTATTACATGCTTAATTCATAAACAGATTAATCAATTCATAATAATAGCTACAAATAAAAATATTTAATATGATTGCCTTTCAAATTAGGCACAAATCCTAAGAATTGGTTCATGAAGCGAATGAACATAACTTATGCCATAGCTCATCTTTCTACTATTTTCTATCTATTTTTGTCTTCTTTTATTTTTCTGATTTTCTCTCATGGTCAATGGTCCACGGTGGAACGACCTCGTCAGCCCTGACTACTTGGGGACCAGGGATGGCCTTGCCTAGAAATTAATGTAAAGGTCAAGTCTGCCCTTGGCCTTATGTTAATTATGTATTCATTTAATTAGCTAATTAATGAGGCCTAAAATAAAGTTTATCTCCACAAATCAAGGAGTAATGGAATCATTCAATTTCCATGATTTCATCTATCTCCTTGGATGAAGGGATAATTCCTTGAATAATTTGGCTACAAGATAATTCCCCTATCTATAGGTATAGCCAAGGATAATCATTCCCCTATCATCATCAGAAATGTTGGATAAGATGTTTCTATTAAATTAAGATGTTTCTAGGAGTTTCCATTTAATTTGGTGGGATTTGAAATACGTCATGAGCTATATATGGAATTGTTTTTTTTCCCTTCAGACATTGTTCATTTTTATAACTTTGTTCCACCCTAATAATCACAGAGCTTATTAAATGCAGGGTGGTATTACAAGCTAAATAAATCGACCAAGTTGAATTAAAGTTTGGTAGATAATTAGTAGTAATTCTCTTCTAATAACAAAAGTAACATAATCTTATACTCATTCATGTTTTCATTATGTACGTATGTGTTCTTTATTTTATTTTTCGTTCCGGTATATGTGGATTATGATAGTTTCGAGTTTTTTATTTATTATTTTGTGCATGTGAGTTACGAATTATTTTAACAAAAAAATGTTCAAAATTCAAATTCAAAATTCCTGAGTAAAAATGCACAAAATAAAACACTTGTAATAAGGGCTAGCCCAGTGTGGTTTTTGAGTAAAAAACATCAGACCTATATATTTCACTTGTTTTAAATATTAGGCGAGTATAAGTTAACGTATTAAAGTCCAAAAAAGTCCATTTTTTTTATAAAGTTTGTCGCAGCCAAGCAATAAAAATATACATTAAAATAGATATACACTTTCAATTATGTTGTTTAACATATTTTCATTTTGATAATAAGTGTTCTTTAGTTGCACTTAATATGTTTGTTTTATGATAAAGTTGATCGGAAATTAGTCAATTGAGCTATGAATTAACGTGACTCATATGATTTAATGTTTAATTTTATTTCTAGAAAGATTATAGAAACTGTAAGTACAAAAAAAATAGATGATAAATAGATTTTAAGCTAATAACTTTAGATAGCTTACGCACTGATACATTCCTAGTTCTGTCATTGTAATTTGTTTCCATTATTTCTCCCCAAAAAAATTTCCATTATTTAGCTTCAAGGGTAAAGTAATCATAAGAATTAAGTAATAAATGAAAATTGGATTCTTATTCAATAACTGTAATATGATAGACTTTCCCAACTTTTTGGTCATTGACTAAGTCTATATTAAAAAATGCAAAACCGTAAACAGAAACCATATATCCTAAAGTTTTTTTTTTTTTTTGGGGTCAAAGATAGAGAAATTTATTAAAAGCGAATAGAACAGTCAACATTCTTGGCTATGCAATTAAACAGCTATTCAGGACAAACAATATCTTAGCTGTGCCTACCACCAAAACGAAAACATGGGCTGCCACTAAATGTGGAGCTTGATTACAATTCCATGGAGCATGCAAAAACTCCACCTTTTGAAACTGTTGAGTCAGACATATAGAACATCAAAAAGAATCCCTTCAATCTTCACGTCCTTGCTAGCTTCCTGAGTTATCGTATTAATCAAACTAAGTGAATCTGATTCCACCACTACCTTATCATACCCAAATTCCAAGCAACGGATTAGAGCTTCCCACACCGCCGCCTCCACCATTAGAGCCGACACGCAGCACAAATCTCTCGTGCCACCTGCACAAAGGAAACAGCCAATGCCATCCCGGAGTACCCACCCGACCCCCCCTTGGCCTGTTTTCACCGCCCATGCACCATCACAATTGAGCTTAACAGAACTTGGGGAAGGAGAAATCTAGGCCGGAGTGATCCAGATGCAGCCAATGCATTCTGCGCCATCCCTTGCGTGGAATCAACCACATGCGCAGCATTGAATTCCGCCACTTGCTTCAGTAAAATAGTCACTGCGTCGCCAGCTTGCACAACCACTCCATTGAAGACTACCTCATTTCGACATTTCCAAATCCGCCATAGGACAAAAGCCACCATTTGCAAAACATCACATCTCCTATCTTGAGTTTCATACAAGGTGAGCAATCCCATCCAACAGGCTATAAAATCTCCACCCTCTGAGTTGTCGTATATCTAGTTGCAAGGGACTCGTAAACCAAATCGCACAAGCAAATTCACAATGGAAAAATAGTTGTTCCTGGGTTTCATCTACACAATCACAGAAGGCACATTTATTGTCCATGGGCACCCGTCTTTTTACCAAATTATGTCGGACATCCAAAGCATTCCGGCAAGCCTTCCAAATAAACATACGAATTTTAGGTGGGATGCGTAGACACCAAATGCCTTTCCAAACTGGAGCATGACTATTCTGCCTGCTACATTCGCCATCCCTTTAACTCCTAACTCCCCATTCCGTTTCAAAAACAACGCAAGCTCATATCCAGACCTAACTAAATAAACTCCCTACTTCTGGAAATGCCAAATCATTCTATCAGAACATCCCCATCGACTTATCGGCATACTAGTGATCAGTTAAGCTTCTTGAGAGTTAAATAAACGTGAGATCAAATCACCCCGCCATGTCTTAAGATCAGCATCAATCATATCAGCCACCATAGGGGGAAGATGAGGATGTTCAGATTGCGTCTTAAAAGTGTGAGGTGTGGGCAGCCATGGATCCAAAGTAACGCGACTCCGCTCTCCAATTCCCAACCGCCACCTTAACCCAGCCTCCAGAATCTGTCTACTTTGCATAATGCCTCTCCACCCACATGATACTTTCCTTCCAAGGTGTACCTCAAGAAATCCCATCCCAGAGTAATATTTATCCTGCAACACTTGTCCAAGAAGAGATTGGGGTTAGCATAAAATCCTCCAGCCAATTTTAGCCAACATAGCAAGGTTGAAAGAAGTCAATTCCCGAAACCCCAGCCCACCATCCTTCTTGAGCCTAGACAATTGCTTCCACCCCACCCAGTGGATAGGTTTACGATCTGCACCATTTTTCCACCAAAACGGGGCAATCTCGCCCTCAATTTCCTTGCATAAGAGCATCTCCAGAAGCCCAGCCCGGGGGAAAGGCTGCCAAAGGCAGCCCGAGACAGCTCCAGCGCAGGGCCCGTAGCCCGGTTTGGTGGTGGGTCCCACGTGCCCGAGCAAGCCCAAGGGCAAGTCTTGCCCGGGCTGAAGCCCGAGTTGGCTGACGTCAGCGCTGGCATCACGCTGACGTCAACGCACAGTAAAACAGATTTTTTTTTTTTGTGCCAAAAAAATTCGAAAAAATTCTGAAAAATTCTGAAATTTTTTTTTTAAATACCAAAAAATTCTGTATTTTTTTCCCTATAAATACCTAACCATTTTATTCACTTTCTACACCAAATCTTCATAAAAACTTCATCTCCTTCCAATTATTTTTCACTCAATTCCAACATCAAATCATTGCAATGGGCAAAAAAAAAAAAAAAAAAAAAAAAAAAAAAAAAAAAAAAATTTTATTCAATCTAATGTCTTTTTATATATATATATATTTCTTGCATTTCCAATTTCTTTTTTTTTAATAGATTAGTCAAGGCAAAACCAAAAATGTTATTCAAAAAATTTTATCCAAAAATTTTATTTGAAAATTTTATTCGAAAAATGTTATCTTAAATTTTAAATGAAAATTTTATAATAAATAGTGACACGTGACAACCGAAAATATAATCTAAAAAGCTTATCAAAATTAATAGTTTAAAGTATAAACAAATAGGAAATAAAGTACAATGAATAGTAATTGCCTTAGACTTGCCCTAGACTTTGCCCTCATGGGTGGAACCACAAATGCAAAGGCTGACACTATTCACGTGAATAGTGGCAGCTCTTGCTTGCCCTTGCCTTAGACTTAGCCCTTGTGGGGGGAGATGCTCTAAGCTCACCGGTAACTTGAAATAGGACATGGCATGATTTGGCATTGCCATGGCCACAGTTTTGAACAAAATCTCCTTCCCAGCAGCAAATAAAAATTGCTCAGCCCATCCGTGTAGCCGCTCACCAATTTTTTGACTCACAGATTCAAAAATCTGTTGTTTAGATCAATGTTTTAAAAGGTGAGGCGTAGAGGCGATGCGTTTTTAGTCCGCTATGCGAGACGTAAGCCTTGAAGCATTGAGGCGTAAGCCTTTCGAACATTAATTTATTTAATAAAAAAATTACAAATAATAATACAGATAAATTATACTGCTAATTCTTATTGAGCCAAAATATTCTATAAAAAATATAAGTACGAAATGTCATTCAAGCATTATAATCAATCTCAAAACATAAAATACTTATTCAACATCAAAAGTAAAACTCAATTCATGCATCCCACTCATTATCATGAAACATTAAATGCTATGATTTTCGGCATTTATGTGTGGACTCGAGTGTTATTTTTAGTTGGTTATTGTGTTGTTTGGAAAAAAAAAACTAACATATATATATGTATATATATTATATTTATATGAAGAATCTTGTACAAAGAGAATTGCATACTAAAGGAAAGAGACGCTTCAACTTATGGAGAGAATTAAATTGATGAAGATTATCGCATTAGGAATATACTAATAGGTTTATTAATGTATTTATTTAGAAGAAAAAAGGAGGATGTATCGTTCAGTGGGGGCCCTTTAAGGCATACTGTTCGTTTAAAGAATAAAAACCAAAACGTGCGTTTAGTCACCTCAGTTTAAAAAAAAACACTTAACTAGATGAAACGACATCGTTGCTTTAAAACTAACCCTAACAAAAAAAATTCAAGCCAGGTTGTCTTCTTCCTTGAGCTCTAGCTTGCAGACAGCGACGCTTCTTTGCGCCTTCCAAGCCTTGCCTCGCACACCTTGCCACGCCTCATTACGCCTCGCCACGCTAAGCGGGCAACAAGCTAAACAACTGTACGCCTAAGGCGATTTCCCTCCGCCTCACTCCGACGCGCGCTTAGGCATGCCTTTGAAAACATTGGTTTAAATGCACCAAAAATCTGTTATTTGTCGAAACCATCCTTACACTGGATATGCATCCGTTCCGTGATGAGCCTTCGCAATCTATTTGTGCATTGCTTATCAAAAAACAAAGAACTTTTCTCAAAATTAATACTTTGGCCTGAGCCAGCCACATAATCCTCCAAAACCTCTAACAGACAAGGGGCCTCCTCTTCCAGTACTCGACAGAACAAAACCGAATCATCAGCAAAAAATAAGTGGGAGATAGTTACACCCCCAGTGCGAAATTGGACACCATGCACCAAATTCCTAACTTCCTACCGTCGAATCAACGCCTTAAGTCCTTCGACACGTATGAGGAACAAAAAAAGAGATAATGGATCCTCTTGACGCAAACCCCTACTTGGAATAATATGCCCTGACAGCTCACCATTGATCAAGACACTATAAGAAACTATAGTAACACATTCCATAATCCAACCTCAGAACCGGCTATCAAACCCCAACTTTTCCATCATGGCATCCAGAAAAGCCCACTCCACTCTATCATATGCTTTAGCCATATCTAATTTCATAGCCATGTATTGTTGGTCCAATCCTTGAGTGGTTTTGAGGCTATGCAGTATCGCATGTACCACCAAAATATTATCAGTAATTTGTCTCTCTGCAACAAAAGCCGATTGGTTCAGACTTACCACATGAAGGATAACCTTCTTTAACCGGTTAGTTAACACCTTAGATATGATTTTATACACCACGTTACATAAAGAAATAGTCTGCCACTATGTCATTCTTCTGGGTTTCTCAACATTAGATATCAAGACAATGTGGGTGTGGTTGAACTTCTGAAGCATTCTCCTAGAATGGAAGAAGGTATTAACCATCTCAAGAATGTCCCCACCAATGGTGGCCCAAAATTTTTGATAGAAACTTCCAGTGAATCCATCCGGTCCAGGTGATTTAATAGGATTCAATTGCAAAAAAAGCCGATTGGTTCAGACTTACCACATGAAGGATAACCTTCTTTAACCGGTTATTTAACACCTTAGATATGATTTTATACACCACGTTACATAAAGAAATAGTCTGCCACTATGTCATTCTTCTGGGTTTCTCAACATTAGATATCAAGACAATGTGGGTGTGGTTGAACTTCTGAAGCATTCTCCCAAAATGGAAGAAGGTATTAACCATCTCAAGAATGTCTCCACCAATGATGACCCAAAATTTTTTATAGAAACTTCCAGTGAATCCATCCGGTCCAGGATTCAGTTGCTTGACAGCAGCCACCACTTCATTCGCTAAAATAGGCTTAGTTAGAGTAATATTATCCTGGAACGAAACAGTGGCATGTACACACTCCAGGATCTCTTCAATACCCACCGGGTTACCGAACATTAATAGATCCTGAAAATATGATTTTGCAATCCTCCTAATATCATATGCCTCCCCATACCAAATGCCACCTTGATCCTTTAGCCCATGCAGCCGATTAATTCTTCAACGAGATATGGTCTTGGAATGGAAAAACTTTGTATTCTTATCACCTTCTTGCAGCCATTGAACTCTGGACTTCAACTTCCAATTGTTCCTCTTTTTGTAACTCAGTTTTGAGATCCTTTTTTAGCCTTATGGTCTTGTTGCGTTAAAAGACTGGACCTCGGAGAGCAGCGCACAGCTCCTCCCTTAAGTTTTCAATGTAAACTTTAGAGCTACGCCACTTCTGTCGTTTCCAATCCACAAACCCCTTCCTTACCCATTTAAGCTTTTCAAACACCTGCATACCCTTTGACCTCTTAAACCCCCGACACCAGCACTACTTGACCACAGCCTAACATTGTTCCATTGTCCCCCCATTGTTGATAAAAAATAAATAAATAAATAAAGCGGCCTGCCCTACGTTGCAATGAGACCTAGGTATGAAGTACCAACATAGCATGATCTGATCCAAGTACTACTTGATGAACCATTAGAGCTTCATGGTAAATACGCAGCTAGTGGTTTTTGGCGAAACCTCTATCAAGTCGTTCCTGAAACCTTCCCTTCGATTCCTTTATATATATATGGATATCCCTCATATCCCAAATCTAACAGGTGACAATCTAAGACAAACCTATGAAAGTCATTCGTACTTCATATGGTACGCGGTGACATGGAAATCCCCCATAACAAGACAACCCTCTCCACATGTATTAATTCAGTCTTGCAATACCCCCAATTGTTTTCTCTAAACCCCCATCATTCGTACTCGCAAACACCATATAAAACTCCCAAGTAGAGTTATGCATGATATCATGAACTCCAACCTCAATAAGGAAATTCGCATACTTAACCAAAACAACATAATGAGCCACCTTCCATAACATACATAAACCACCACTTAGACCCTTAGGTGCCACCACATGCATAAAATTCATCCCCAACTGTTTTTGTAACCACCCATAGCAATATGCCTGTTTTTAGTTTCCATCAGCACCACTATGTCAGTGGCCTAGAGCCTAACTTGCTCCCTAAGACTTGAAATTGTCTGGGGACCCCCTATGCCCTGACAGTTCTACCCACACGATGATTTTCATGGCAACTGTGGAGACCCATTACGGTTGGTCTCCACTGCCTGATTCAGTTCTTCCTCAAAAGGCAAACATTGTCATACCTCACCTGGTGTTCCTGACATCATGGGAAACACACCCTGGTCTCCATCAATCTCTTATTTTATCTAACACTTTTGTCGTCCTGCTCCCACATGTTATCCAGACCCTTCCTCTTTAACCTACCTTCATCCCTATATTGTGCGCCAACTATCAAAGGTCCCAAATTCAATGGGTCAGAATTTTGGGTTAAGCTCCACTGATTCCCCCCCATCAATATCCCCTCTTGATTGAGGCTTCACACGGTCACCCCGTTCAACAACCTACACTTGCTCCTCAACAGAAGCATTTAAATCCACCCCAAAAACCATGTCCCATTCGTCCGGCCTCTGCTCTTCCCCACTAATGAATACACAATTCACACCATGTCCACAGTTGGAAGAAAACATAGGTAAGACAAAAGTCTGAGGGTTGTTGCCCACAGCGAGGTCCGTCCCTCTAATAAACACCCTATTGTCCCACGCCTGCTGCCTAAGGTGCCTATTCCTTTTCTCCTCTTCCTGCTATCAGCGACTCGAATCCACCATCCTCGAAGAATAAGTTCCAAATTTGCATGGTGAAGTAACCGTGTCCTCTAGCTCAGCCCCTTGAATCCTACCACCCATCCACGAACCAACTTGATCAACACGACTACCTTCTCTGCTACCCCCAATGGTCTCTGCCATTATATCTACGCCTAATAAACTCACCATTCAAATCATCACTAGCACTCATATGCCTGGAACTCTGGCTATTATGGGATTGTCACATAGAGCCCTTAAGCTTTCGACCCCGTAAATCATCCTCAACTGCCAAACCAACAAAGGCCAATAAAGCTTCAGATCGCACACCACTACTCCCATACTCCTCATGGTGCTGCTCTAGACATAGACAGCTTGGATGACCCACACAACCACATACAAAAGCAATATTCTGGGAGAAATTCGTATTTAAAATCAATCCAAAGAGAAACCTCCCCTGGAAACACCACGAATGTTCCCCGCATCAAAGGTTGTCCCACGTCGAATCTAATACGGACCTCAAAAATCTACCTATGCAGTCATCATCGATAGTCTGGTCCACCTCCAAAACTGTCCTATCAAAGCTCTAATTCATATATATCCTAAAGTATTCATATATATGAATTATTTTAACTAATATGTTCAGAGTAACATAATGATCAATAAATGTCAGAAGAAGAAAAAAAACATAAAGGACCAAATGTGATAATTTGGCAAACCTTAAGAACTATTTGTAATCAAATAAATAAAATAAAGGGAAAACTACAGTAAACCCCCCAACCTATAGGGTCATTTACGAGTGCATATCCGATTTTGGGGACATTTACGAGTATATACTCAACGTCGCGGAAAATCTATAATTTGTCCCCTCCGTTAGTGAGACCGTCAGAAAATTCGTTATTTGCCTACGTGGCATTTGTGGGACCCATTTTTTAATTGACGTTAGGTTCTACGTGGACAAAAAATTAATTTTTAAAATTACTGTAATAAATTAAACATATTAAATTCAAAATTAAAAAATTAAAATTAAAACCCTACCCAGATTCTCTCTCCCGATTTCGTCCCCCTTCCTCCCAATTTCTTTCCCCCAGATTTGTTCAACCCTAGATTTCTTCCCCCTCCCAGATTTAATTAACCACAATTATTTTAAAAATTCATGTCTGTGATTAATAACCAATCCCAGATTTGTCTGTGATTGTATTGGGAAATAGGAAACCAGCAAAACTGGTATAATTTTCCTTGTCTTTGTCACCATCGTCTTCATATCCGTTGTCTTCGTCATCTCATAAACCCATTTTGTGGTCGTGGGGGTTGCAAAGAGAGATAGATAAGGCATTGGAGGAGACTGACGATGGTGGGACTCGAATCTGGTGTGGGTTGTAAAGCTAGGATATGAAGATTGGGACTGTGTGTGTGTGTGTGTGTGTGTGTGTGTGTGTGTTTGGATCTGGGAGATGAGGTAGTCAGGAGATATGAGTGGTGATCTATAGTATGAAATGGGGAGGTGGTGGCAGAAGGGGTAGGGATGTGCGTCAGAGTTTTTGGAGGAAGGGGAAGGGGAGAAAATGGGGCTGGACTGAATTTTTCTTTATTTTTTATCTATTTTACTGATCTTTTGTAAAACAACCCAACAACACCCCCTCTCTGATTGATCTTGTGTACCCAAAGAATGAAGATAGATCAGTTCCTTTTTTTTTATTTCCATTTTTTCTTGTCATGTATGGAACTGAAGGAGATCTGCGAGAGTTGAGAAAATGAATTTGTTGTGCTTTGAGGAATTTGATTTGTCAAGCAAGAGAGATGGATTGGTTGGGGTGGCTGGATTGGCATATGAGGAGGATGGGGGTTAGCAAGGTGAGCTGGGATGTCAGGGGCTACTCGGTTTTGGGGTGAGGGAGGGGTGGCTATTGAGTTCTGATCCGCAAGCTACCTCTCCAATGCATGGTTCGTGAAATCGCTCAGGACATCAGGATTGACCTCATGTTCCAGAGTCATGCTGTGCTTGCGCTTCAGGAAGTTGCAAAGGCCTATTTGGTGGGTTTGTTCAAGGACACCAACCCGTACGCCATCCATGCCAAGAGGGTGACAATCATGCCCAAGGACATTCAGCTTTCTAGGCGCATCCTAGAAGCAATTGGAATTCAGGGTTTGGTTGTAGAGGCTATGGAGGAAGAAAGAGAGAGTTATGGGTCTGGGTTCAGAGAGAGAGAGAGAGATATATATATATATATTTTAAAATAATTTAAATAGTAAAATACATTTTTTATTAATTTTTTGTACACGTGGAACCCAACGTCAATTAAAAAATGATGTCACGTAGGCAGATAACGAATTTTTTGACGATCTTGCTAACGAAGGGGGCAAATTTAAGTTTTCTGCGACATGGAGTATGTACTCGTAAATGTCCCCAAAATCTGGTATGCACTCGTAAATGACCCTATAGGTTGAGAGGTTTACTATAGTTTACTCAAAAATAAAATTAAAAAGTGGCCCAACAAAGATAAGACGTGTGTTTGATTTTATAAATTCAGTAACCAAACATCATATTAAATTTAAATCGAAAAACAAAAAGGAAATTAAAAAAATAATAGAACCCAACTGCAGAGGAGTCCATCGCTGCACAGTGTTGGCAGACAACACACTACTCAACACTGCATAGTCTTAACAGACAAAAGAATCAACCGCTCTTTCAAATTTCTCTTGCAAACTATGGGATTCTTTAGATTTTCGAACCCATGACTCTTGTCTACCAAAACATAACTATTCTTTGCTCTTTCAATTCAGTCCTCCTTCTCCTTCCTTCCCCTCTAACTACTCTTTTGGCACATCATCATCATCTCTGTAATCCGCCATTCTCTCTCTCTCTCTCTCTCTCTCTCTCTCTCTCTCTCTCTCTCTCTTGTTTGTTTCATTCACTCGAGAACTTGAAAACTCTTGCAATATCATTTTATTTCTTGAAATTCTTCTACTCTTCAATTCTCAATCTTTGGTCAACCCAATAGCTTAAACTTGTGCTTTTTTCTGTTCTCTAATTGTTGTTTCTCTGGGTCAAGGGTTATAGGATTACTACTGATTTCTCATAATCTTATGGAGCTTTTGCTCTAATTCTTGTTTCATATTGCTGCAATGGCTATAACTGGAACTGGGTGGTTTTTTGTTGTGATTCTTGGTCATTGATTAATTCTTGGCTATAACTGGAATTGGGTATGATAATCATGGTCAACTGAATATGAAGCCATTCTCCATAAGGTGATTGATCTTCTCTCTCTCTCTCTCTCTCTCTCTCTCTCTCTCTCTCTCTCTCTCTCTCTCACACACACACACACACACAATGCGTGTGTGTGTGTGTGTTTTTCTAATCTAGTCTTCCGGATTTTATTTCATTACTTTATACTTGTCACCCGTGGACTTCTTGAGGGGGAATGCTTTTTATTACATTATATACGATTAAATTTACATGTAGAATGAATGCAAAATAATTAATTTTGAGAATAATGAATTTTGCAGTCTAACACTCTGTCTTTTTCCTAATAGAACCGTGTACTTTTTTTTTCTATTAGAGTTGAGTAAATTCTAGGTTCTGCATCACACGGCTTATAGTTGGTGAAACTAAAATGATATCAACCTGCATTTTAAATTTCATCTGGAAGTGATGCTCCTTGGGCATGGTTTGTTGTTTTGTTTATGAACTAGTTCCGGCCCCACTAATGTATGGGGTCTTGCTCTTGGAAGTGATAATTGTCAAGAAAAAGATGGGCGGTGAAGTTCAAGTTTAGCAGTTGCAAATCCAATAATGACTTCAACAAAAAATAATGTGACTTGCACCATCATATACGAAGGTACCGTCTCAGCTTTATATCTTTCTCCCATAATTGGCTATGTTCACACATGAGTTTTAAACCATTTGAATGCACCTACGAGAATCACTTCATACTTGTAGAGCTTATGCATAAAATTGTCTGAAATGACCGACTTCGATTTGACATTTCAATTTGAAAAATCATGGTATGCAGATTTTTATATACTAAATACAGATCTAAAGTATTCACAAACCACGTATTTTTTGAAGTTTTCCGTTTGAACTTCAACGAAAATCCTTTTGAACTTCTTGTTTATAAGACAATCAATTCAGTTAAAGTAGTTCCCAATAAGGATACATGTCAGTAGTATTTGCTAGAAGTTATATGCTGTGTTAACACACTGCCTCATTTTCCTTCATGGTGTAGTTCACTAAGCAAGAAGAAATTATTATATGGTTGATGCAGTATGAATGCATAAATCTTCATAGTTGGTTTATGTAAAATTATTTTCCCTGTTTTTTGGGTATGGTTCATTGCAGAGCATACATGCATGCACCAGGTCCGCAAAAGAATCATTGTTCCTTTTCTATGAGATATAATTTTATCAAAAAAACATTGTGATGTATAGCCACTGTGGAAAAGATGTCTACCAGAGTAATACATTAGTAAAAAATAGACAATAAAACTGATAATCACCTTATTATAAAGGGCTCATATTTACCTCTGATAATTTTGATAGAACACAAATTTTATCCTGAATGTTCAGAATAACATCAATTTTGTCTCCTAAGTTCACATCATATAGACTAGTAAAGCAAACACAGAAGTGAATTCATAAGATCACAAAGAGTTACAATCTATTGGAGAAAGAAACCTGATCTTGTATGGAACTTAAAGCAGCCATAATTTTGATTGATTTCAAATTTTTGACAGGAATAAAACAATCTGCAATAAAGTGAAAATTTGAAGAAAAAGTTTAATAATGAGGCAGATATGCAGCAGCACCTTTTCTAGATCAGTAAAAGGATGTCATTAAACAGATTATTAAAATCGTTGATTAGACTTTCTTGTATCAATTGAAGATTGTAAGTTTATTGTTTAGATGACTTGAAAAGTGTAACTGACGTATGATGATTACAATACATCTTTTTCCCAGCAATAGGAACCAATTTTGCTTCTGCCTGCATAAATTTCTCCACGTATCACTTTATTTTTATTTTACATCCAACCATTAGGGTGTTTTCTTTTCATTCCTAGTTTCTACTTTGGTTTTCTTTTTCCTGAGATGGTAGGTTTTTTTTTCTTTAAAGGAGTCACTAACTATGACCCTGCTGGAAATTGAGACTAGTCTAATTGTATCTGAAGATTAGCGTAACAAGTAAAAATAGAAACAACCGTGCACTTTTTAGTATTTATTGTTATTACATTCAACATATCTTTAGCATGCTTAATTATGTCTTTGGGATGATGCTTTAGCTGATTTAGCCATCTGTAATCAGGATGAGGAATGGCAAATTTACTCTTGATTCTGCGGAAAAATATGTCTGCGAGTACTTTCAATCTGGACAATATTGTCAGGCTCAATCTTCATGTCATGCTTGTAAGCCCTATGGGAATGAATTGCATAGTGTAAATCTCTAGTTGAATTGAAAAGAGGAAATAATCTCTATGGTTTTCTAATAATTGATTTTGAGGAGATCAACACTCAAATACTCCTTTCTTTGGGTGTACTAATTCTTATGTTTTGTGCACTTCATGTCATTATTAATTTTGTTCTGAATTTCTTGCAGATCTTTACCCAAAGAAGATGTTTCAGCTGCTGCAGTCTGCTTATTCTACAATAAGTATCCAAGATGCAGCTCTCTTTTTGGGAATGAATGAGGATGAAGCGACAACTTGTAAGCTTCTGTTTTCACAATTTGTATGTGTTACCAGATTGCTCTGTCTTAAGGTTCTTTTCAAAGATAAAAAATAACAAAGTAAAATAAAAATCTTAATTCTTGTCCAGATAGAAATCAGACTTAATGCTGCACAACTAAAAAAAATGAAAACCTTTTTCTTTCTTTTATTTTCTTTTTTTCTCTATGAGGAAAGATAGTTAATATATCATTGTACTCTGTTGATGTATAGGAAATTAACCATGAAATGTCTTTGAAGCTATGAGCATCTTTGGAGGTTCAAGTTGTGAAGCATTTAGAGCTTATTCCGATGCTTTAAAGCTAGCAGGACAGTTAGCATACTGAAAGTTCACAACATAAAAAGATACCAAGAATTACAAACCAGTTGGAACTTGGAAGTCACTAAGCAAGCCTAGAGCCTAGATCTGTGGTTGTAAAAGGATCAAAGGCAGTTGCAGACTTGGCTCTAGTCTAATACTAATATTCATACCTAACCATTTTGTCTTGATGAGCCTAAGTCATCGTAGTGACAGGTAAAAAGCCCTTGTTTTGGTGGGTTTGGGTGCTCTGTACTTACTGCTGGTCATATTAAAACACCATAAAAAAAATGCATTACCTATGAATATGAAAATTTTGATGTAAAAATGTTGTAGAAGGCATTTAGGAACCTTGATTAACTATGCTTTTCCATTGCTTTCTTATTTTCCCCCTGAAAACAATTCCTTTGGCTAGAAAGGTTGCTAGGTATTTGAATTTTGAACACTGCTTATTATAATTAATCACCTGTGTTTTATGTAGGAAAAACTTGTATATGAAGACTTGTCTCTAAATGCGTACTTGCTGCTTTCATATAAAATTTTCTGTCATGTGTTAAAAAAATCTTGAGATTTAGTTGTCATATGGAGACGTACTACAGCAATGTTGGATTGCGGAAGCTGCTTCTCGAATGCTTACTGTAAAGAAGCGGCGGATGTTCCCAGTAATTTGCAGAGCTTGACAGAACATGGATACCATCTGGGGTATTGATGGAGACTTTAAGAAACTGAAGCTGCAGATTCTCTTCCCCAGTTTTACTACTTTTTATTGATAATGCTCTGTATTTTATCCTGTGCAAAGTATATGTTCGTTGATTACCTGGTACCTTGAAATGAAATATTATTGCAAAAACCAAGTGTATACCACGCCTCTCTTGTAGTCATTCATGGTTCATAGAATGAACTTTGAGTTCTCGATCACATGATTAGTTATTGTGAGAATGATGTGACGAACTTGCCTTGTGGCTCAACATGCTAAAACGGCATCGTCACAAAGCTTGAAGAACCCTGGACTTTGACTTAGTCTTCCATAAGGAATTTTCTAGAATTTGTACGCCAAGAAAGAAAAGTTCCCTGTTCAAATAGAAACCCTTCTTTTTGTTTTTGTTGTTTTGTCTGTTCTTTCCACGCGCCATCTTGAAATCTTCAACATCTTCAAGTTCCATTTTTTTTTCTTTCACCAAATTCTTCAAACTCTCATTAAGCAATCTCCTCCACCCAGAGAGAATTTCCACCTCAACCAAGATTTTCTTAAATTCAATTTTGTTTTTTTAAATTCTTCTTTTGGTTTAAAAACATTTGGCCATAAAATTACCCATTACGCCTAACAAATAGAAACATCCTTATACTCATCAAGAGTTCTAAAAATCTCTCACTTGCTATAGTAAATATATTGCTTGCTGGGATACTGCTGCATGGGCTAATAACTAATGTTTTCAATTACTGCATTAATATATTGGATGCGCCCATGATTCCAAATCCAACACAAATCAAACGGAGAGGAAACCCCCTCCTCGTAGATTAGATTAATTTACAGTCGCCTGTAAAAATTAAAAAAAAACACAAAGGTCGGATATACATAGCAAAGGTCGGCATGTTTTGGTTTCGACGACCGGCCGAATCAACGTATCATATTTACCAGAAAAAAGAGGAACCCATATGCCAAGAAAACACAACCATGCTTGCAATTAATTTACAAATTACATGTATGCCATACATTATTCATTCACATACATAAGGGTTTAACTTAACCTAACATCTAACTCTTAGGAAGTTTTACAAAAATCAATTTGCCCTCATTTTCCTCTTATAATTTATAACATTAACAAGATTATTAAGAGGCTTCGTCAACTCGTATAGCTCGGAAATCGAGCGATATCTTCCTTTCTTCCTGCTCGGCCCCAAACTTGCTAGTACGTCATCACCATCATCATCTTCCACCTCATCTGCAAATCTTGTTGTTCTGTATTTTGAGGAACATACCTGATCATGATCACCATGATGAACAGTTTTGCCATCGCTTTCTTCTGTAGCGTCATTGTTGTCTGATATTGATCCGCTCAGTTGTATGAGTTGCTCCGCTGCGTCCATTTCCAGCTCCGAGAAATCACTGCTTCCAATTGGGTCCTGCTCCTTATTGTTGTTGTTCATCTTTCTCCTCTTGTTTCCACTTGCTGCTGCGGTTTCTGTTGATTTCTTCATGAATATTTTATGTTGGTTTGCTGATAACTTAGCTGACAATCAAATGAAATGAAGTTGTAAATGGCAGAAACTAGGAAAAGATGTTTTCACTTTATATACAATACGCTGAGTCGGTTGCCATTTTAAACTTTTATTTTTTATCCTTTCCTTTTCATTTTCATTTATTAAATTTAGCTCTCTTACTCACAAGGGGAATGCTGCAAAATGGACCTACGCTAGATTTGACTATGGGCTGTTTTGGTTTGGCCCAAGTGGTGAGACTTCGTCTTATTCAAAGGTGGGCTGGGCTTTGGGGAAATGCCCCGTGACACTATGATCAAATCTCACTTTTCTCCCTTAGAAGTCAAAGTGACTCATTTTTCGCCCTTGACCAAGATTTGTGTTCTATGTTGGCCACTATTGTTTTTTTAATGTAATTTTTTTGCCAATAGTTAAGGAGGGGGAGGGCAAAAACACTTATATGAAACGGGTATCACAGTTTTGCTATCTCCGGCCAATCAATTTTTCTACCTCCACAATTTGTGGAGCACCTCAATTTTTTGCCGGATCACTCATCCAAGTTGGAGTTGCCTCCACAGTTGCTATATCACAGTTTTTTTAAAACGGGTATATCATAGCATTATTTTGCTATCCTCAGCCAATCACAATATATCATACGTGATGAGTGATCCGGCAAAGTGGAGCACCTCCAACATGTTCTAAAAAAAACATTTCTTAAACATTTAAAATAATTACAAACTCTACTCAAGCCCAACCAACCTCCACACTCAAATACTCCTTTTTTTTTAAGTTTTTTTTAAAATTTTTTTATATGGAGGTGGACTTCACTTTGCCACATCACTCACACTACATGGCCCATGAGTACAAGTATACTAAAACACCCTTGCCATGTCATCAAAATTTACAGAGTTTTGGATAGAGTTAATGGTAGGAGTAACGTGGAACATCAAACCTTGGTCAAAGGGGCAAACCTAACGTAACCGAAACCCTAAAGTAGGGATGGGCATGGGTTGGATTGGGTCAATTGTAGTCCCAACTCGATATATAGAGGTTTATGATTTCTTGGACTCAAGACCGGTTCATTATTAGGCCAACCCGACCCAACCCAAACTTTTTGTGATCGGATTGGGCAATTTGGTTGGATTAACTCAAATTAAGCCTACTTTTAAGTTTTGGTTCTAACCAGTAACCCAACCGTACATAGCGATTTATGATTTTTTGAACCTTAGACCAGCTCATATTTTGGCCAACCCAACCCACTATGATTGGGTTGGGCGTTTAGGTCAGGTTGACCCAAAATTGTGCCCACCCTTACTCTAAAGGAACCCAGAGCTTAAATGAACGCCACCACCACCACATGAAGAAGCGTCATCGTGGTCACACCCACTATGCATATAGTCTTCAAGGGAAAACAAAACTTGTGATAGATGTGAGGAAAACATGGTTTTCAACGATCTAACTGCACATAGGGGTGGCAATTTACGACATGACTTGAAACCCGCATGCAAAATAAGGTGGTCAACCCAAACGATTAAAATTTCTAGTCAAATTCGGGTCAACTCGTAATGACACTTATAATAAATCGGTGGGTTTCGAGTCAACCCACCACCCGCGAAATGCCTACTTAACTCGTTTACTGTTTAATTTTAAAGTTTTATTAATAATAATAAATACGTGGCATGCATATATATGTTCTATTCTATTCTATTCCACCGTGTACCCTAGGGCAATCAATGTTTAACCCACCCAAATGAAAACCCTACCCAAATTTTTAACTTCAAATGTTTTTTAAATAGGTTTTGTGTAAATAGGTTACCTAACATGTTTATTGATTTGTTAAACAGTTTACCTATTTTGGACCTAACCTAACACAATTAGAACCCAACACAACCCATTTATTAATTGGGTTGGGTTTGGGTTGAGCATTCTTGACATGTTTATTACCCTTACACGACACGACCTATTGCCACCCTTAACTGCGCATAACATCGAACAAATATGTCAATCCATCAATCATGGAAAAAAACAATTCCGTAGATTGCATCAAACTTCTCGAAATACTATGTAGAACTAAATTTAGAAAAGATAAGAAGTGTTAGAGATAGGCTCTATGGAAGAATGATTTGATTGAGGACATAGCCCAAAAAAGGTGATGAGAAACTTCGTTCTAATCATAGCTCAGAAGAAATCACCACAAAAAGGACTTCTTATTCAAAACGCCAAAGGGACTTATTCATTTACCCAAAAGAAAATGAAGTCGGAAACGGAGAGGAGAGAGGAGGAGGGGCAGTGACGTTTCTTCCTCTTCCCTCCTCTATTGAGTTTTCTTTGGAACTTAGAGAGGAGTTCTAACAACACAACCTATTCTTCAAAACTTGCTATACTTTTACCTTCATATTAGTTCGATGCCGTATTACAAAATATATTTAAGAAGGCATGTCTTATGTGCTCCCTTAGTTTGTTATGTTACAGTTGAAACTTAATATTCCATTAAAACTTAATACAATTGGAAACTAGCAACATATAATAATCCTAGCTTGGATCACCGATACAAGCAACAACAGTGACATATTTTGTCGGGAAACATTAGATAACGTGAAAATAAATTAAACTAAACAACTAGGAAGAAATATAAAGTCAATAAGATTGGATTTGGGTTAATTTGAACTAACTGGATCAGCATTATGGAACATACCAATAAGCAAGAAATCATCAACTGAAATTCGATACTTGTATGTTGAAGGTGTATGTTTGGAGGTTGAGACATTGATAGTCTTTTTGTTCTTGGTTTTTTCTTGAATTTTATGTTTATGTCTATGTTTTATTTTATTTTATTCAGACATAATTGATTATCTTCTTCTTTTTTTTAAATTTCTTTCCAAGTTGTAATTACCAATGCACACTCTAGCTTTTACAGTACAAAAATTTATTGGTACCATACCTAATATTGTTCATACACCCGAGTTGAGTCTTGTTCTCCTGCACTCCAGAGTCCAAGGAGTTTGTGGTCACCCACCCTTGGATCTAATCTAAGGGTGGAGAAAAACCTGTTTTAAAAAGACACGATTTCTTCATGAATAGTGAGGACCCAGATTTGGGAAAATTTGTTTAACTTTTAGGACCCTAAATCGATTTAATTATATTAACTCAATTCATTGAGTACCAAAAAAATATGATTTCTTAGTCAAATTTTTACTTCTACTTCGTCATTCTATGATTTTTGAGTGACATATGTTCCTTCTCTATTACCAAATAGTAGCTAAGCATGTAATTTTTTTTTCTTTGAATTAGTAAAATTCCAAAAAACAGAAAAATCTAATAAACACCTGCTTGTATTTGGTGAAATTGTAGTTTACCAAAATTATTTTATTTATTTCAGTAGATGACTCAAGTGTCTCCTAGGAGCAAACATGTATCCATCATCCGCATTGCTTGGTGAAAATAAGGATGGCTTAGATGAAACTCTAGTAATTGATCAGCTCATTGAGAATGCTGATGGTTTTAGTTCATTGAAAAGGTCCATCCTTCTCCTGTTATTTTATTTATTTTTTAAATCATTTCATTAAATTCTATGTTTTTATGGGGTTTATGAAAAGGTCCATCCTTCTCCTGATACTCATGCACATATGAAGAAGTTGGGGGCAATAAGTAGGAGAAAAAAATTGGGTTTCTTTTTTGGTATTATTTTGTTCTTTTATTCCACAATGTTTCGAGTTTTGTAGCGTTTTTCAATTTAAGTGTGTAACAGTTCATGATTTAGAAATATCAATAAACATCTACATTTTCAAGGTTCTTATTTGATTTTCTAAACTTCAGCAGGTGTTCCTCTTCAATTGCTTTTATCACATCATCATTCATCCTTTTTGACCCAAATATGTAGATTGTGTATGCCAACATGCTAGTTCATGAAAACGGAAGAGAAACTACGGCTGAATACACAACGTCTATATGTAGTAGTCTTTCAATGGTATAATCCTGTGAGAAACTTATTTTAGTAAAATATTTTTTACACGTGAATCGGGAATGCTTAAATCTCCTCACATAGCAAAAGAATCACAATGGTTTTAATCTAAATTGTACTCATGACTACAAGTACACCAAATTATGGTCAGATTGATAAACATAACTACTAATTTGTTCAAGCACAAAGGAAGAAAAATTGTTGATGTGGCTATTGTTCATAAAGCTTGACATCAAATACTAAATAACATTTAATTTGAACAACTGTTGATGGGATCCCTATGCATAAAGCTTAATGTTGTAGGGGTTTTTTTGTTCCAGCAGTTTGACGAATGGGCTTGGGCTGCCGTAGAGAGAGAACGGATGAAGTTGCCCATGTGCTTGAATTCAAGAACCAGGCCCCAAAAGTGTTTCGAAAAGTTCGTGGAGCCTTAGAAAACACTTTGGTTCCTTTCACTAGTAAATCAGACACCTGTGACATATTAGTATTATGGTTTGCCTTGAGAAGCTTGTGGTATGGGAACTAAGTCTTTATGAGTTTAGCAATAGAGAGAAAGAGCTTGGATTTCTTATGGAAACAAAGGTTCATAGTAAGGTTTATGGTTGAGTAAATTTTGGGAGATTTTGATGAGGGAAGAGAGGGAGCAATGGAAATGATGGATGGGTGGCTTGAGTAAATTTCCAGCCGCTTGACAAAAGTTTGGTCTCGCTCTTGAATCGTTTGCCAGAAGAGAAAAGAAGAAGATGGGAGAACAGGGCTTGAAATTGAAGGTTCCAGCAGTGAGTGAGGATGCTTGCTTGCTCTGGATATGTTAAACTGCAGGGTAGAAGGTGCCTCCTTTTATAAGCATTGGAACCCCTAATTTTACCAAGTCATCCTCTCCATTTTCCTAAAATTTCTTCCATTCAATCCTATTTAGAGAAACCTCCCCAATCCGAGTGCATAGGACCGGAGCTTTTTGGAGTCCCAAGACTTTCACGCTGCTCGACTCCTTCATGTGGATGAGACACCCCTTACTTTTCTTCCTGGTTTTCCTACT